GCTTGTTAAAAAGCATGATGGTAGCTTGCGCTTTTGTGATGACTTCCGTAAGCTTAATAAGGTCTCTGTCGCTGATGCGTACCCTTTACCTCGAATGGATGACTCACTGGATGCTTTGGCCAGAGCGCGGTTCTTTTCCACTCTCGATCTCCTATCCGGATTCTGGCAGTTGCCACTAGACGAAGCCTCTAAGCCTAAGACATCCTTTTGTACACCACAAGGCTTGTTCGAATTCAATTGGTTTCCGATGGGTCTTCATTCCACGCCAGCTACGTTCCAGCGATTAATGGAACTGGTCCTAGCTGGTATCCAGTGGGACTCGTGCTTGATATACCTCGACGATGCCATCGTTTTCAGCCGTACGTTTGATGAACACCTGCAATGGCTATGCGCTGTCTTTCTCAAAATGTGCTTGGCCAACCTGAAATTCAAGCCGCAGAAATCTCACTTCCTCCATAGTAAGTGAATCGGGTATTGCGACTTACCCGGACAAAACCGCATGTGTCTGAATTTGGCCGACCCCCACGTCGGTGGGGAGATACACAGTTTCATAGGATTCACATCCTATTACCGCCGTTTTGTTCCCGGGTTTTCTACCATCACTAAGCCTATCCATGCCTTGACAGCTAAGGGTAATAAATTTCACTGGGGGAAGGAGGAGGACGCCGCATTTGTTGTGCTCCGGGATGGCCCGGTGAACGCCCCTCCCCTCCACTACCGCGATTTTTCATTGCTGTTTGTCCTTGATACAGACGCTAGTAACACCGGAATTGGAGCTGTTTTGTCCCAAGTTGTTCATGCATTGGGACGGAGGGTTGCGCCAATACAACATCGTTGTGCCCATTACCCTACGGGGCAAGGTCATTTGGGCGGTACACGACTGCTTGTTACACCTAGGTGTGCATAAGACGCTGGCCACACTCAAATTGGACGTCTTCTAGCCTGGCATGGCTGAGGATGTCACTAATTTATTGATGGGGTGTGTGCAGTGTCCAGATCCGCTTGGGGCGGCGCTGTTGGTTTGTACAACCTTTCATCACGCTGCGCGAGTTCGTTCCATTGCCACACCGCAGGGGCCGAGTGTCAGATGCGTCCGGCGAGCCAGGGTGTGTGCCCGCTGAAGGTGGTCCTCAGCGGAGTGATCTGATCCCGTCCTCAGGCGCCGTGCGCCTGACATCCCCCAAGCCGCCGCCTGCGCCGTCTCCATTGGATTCAGGAGAGGAGAACCCGTCGACCCGGCCCACTGCTCTTCGTGAGGAGCCGGGATCGACGGGGCATTGGCATATTCCCCCCGGGACCGCCACGTAACACACACTCCCACACCCTCTATTGGTTGTCGCACTCGGTAAGCCGTATCGGTTAGTGGCTGAACCTAGCCTTTATTGTGTTGTTACACGGTGAGGATGGGAGATGTTTGCGATGAAGTGGATTCTGAGCATTCGCGGTTCACTGCACTGTTTTTTTTTCTCTCACTCATGTTGTTCTATACTCACACCCTTCTCCCCGTTGTTAATGTACATTTATAGGTAGTGTAAATATTGTATAGGTGGGTTTGAATATTTAATGGGTAGTTGTTGTTGAGGCACACATAGCATTAATCACTTTTTAATAACTTTTTATCACCTTACTCACTTAGTTTTAAGGGGGAGTTGACAGCCAGGACGGCTGAGTGCTACGAAGGGGGGGGTGATGTAGTGACATCTCAGATGATGTCACTGTGTGGTGCCGGCCCTAGAGGGGCACGGCGTGCGATTTACTCACATCGCGGACATCACGTATGTAGCGGCATCGTGAGTGTCGCTGAATAATGCCGGCTCCCGAGTGAGGCACGGCGTGCGATGCATTGTCATCACGGACACCCCGTAGGTGGGTGTAGTACCAGCCCTAGAGGGGAATCGGTGAGTGCTGGGATAGCGCAGTGGCACCACGCGTGGCGCGCAGTGCTGACTCCTACCGGAGGGAGTGTGAGAGTGTCAGCCAGAGGATGAGGTTACCCTGGGCCATGGCACTCTGGTTGGCCCTGTAAGGCACGTGACCAGTAAGATCTACACAGGGGCCCCAGGTGGGGGCTAGGAAGGTGGTCACGTGTCAGAGTGAGATCCTATGGGAAGGGTCGGAAACGACAAGAGGTTTCTGTAAGGTGGTCGTGGCCAAGGGCGGGGCCAGCCACGACCCGAGAGCATATAACCGGGTCCCCACTAGGGACTGGGGTTCAGCGTTGCTGTTGTCATCTGAAGATCTACGATTGACGTTCTGCGTCATCGAAGAAGTCACCAACACGTGGGTGAGGACCCGAGCCTGGGTCCTGTCTGTTGTAGCTACTCCCAGTAACTAGCGTAGTTAGCCTGGTGGTTCACCACCATAGGTTATCTGCCAAAGGGGCAGTAACCCCTTTGTGTTATGTGTTGGTGTTCATAAATGTGTTGCCTCCAAAGAGTAAGTGTGCGACTCAGTTGAATCCATTACACATTTAATCTCCTCGTGCTTTAGTAATTCCCTGCAGGTTCTCTTCAAGCAGCATAAACCATCATCACGCAAACTCCGGTCATCCTAGCAGCAACAGCAGCTTTTGGCTCACCATCGAACAAAGACGGTCACCGCATCGCGCGCTTTCAGATGCGCTCCTGCGACCATCTGGAACGTTCTTCTTTCCGATATTAGGAAGCCACTGGAGCTGTGCACTTTTAAATCATCTTGATTGAAAACTAATTTCTTTCGAGCTGCTTTTTTTTAGCTTGTTCTCCTTCTCCCGCACTTGCGATGAACACGGTTGGCTACGTATGGTACGAAATAAGTTCCACATACGCGTGTATAGAAGTTACGAAACGGCTGCAGAAACTGATCTGTGCCACGGGTGGTGACAATTGACCACTAAACCGCAGCTGGCTGTTGAAGATGAACATTTTCTTTGCATCGTCATGGCTTGTGAAGGCGAGCGGGGATGGGGCAAAGTGACTTTACAACTGACAATTGTTTTCCAAAGCTGCGCCATATAAGAAAACTATCAATGAAAAATCCTATTTAATATTCAGGACGACGTACGTGTGTATGTTGAACTTCTTTCGCACCTTACGTAGCCAACCGTGCTAATCAATTCCGTCATGGCGGTAATCGATTCGGTCGTGACGGTATTTTAGCAAGCTCTTGGGAAAAAAACGAGCAAAGGCAGGAGAAATGTTTCATGTACTTAGGGTAGTGAAACAACTGTGTTAACTATTTGTGTTTTTACCAAATAAATATATATATAAACCACCGAGTTTCACAAATTAAATGTCTCAAAACAATGTCGTGGGCAAACACGGGTCTCCAACCAGAGGCTAAATTATGTCTTCTAAATGTAAGGAACAATGTGCACTCTCTCGAAATACACAACATTCAGGGGGCTGATTGCAGTGTGTAGAAGCAACGACGATGAAGTCTGTTCTAAGTAACAGTTCAACATTTCACCGTTGATTGCAAATTATAAAAGTTATTACGAAACTTAAGTAATAAAACATTTTTACTGGGGTAGCGTCACATAGCCATGACAATCAACTCTTTCTAGTTTGAAAAGGAATTTATTTAGAACTGCTTTTTTGCGTTTACTTTGTATTCCTTCCCCCCGCACCTCCGATTAGCACGGTTGGCTACGTACGGCGCGAAAAAAGCTCAACATACATACTCAACTTACCGACTTCCACTTCACAGCTGCCCTGGGTCCAATAACGCAGCGCATCAATTGCAGCGAGTCCAAGTCCTCCCTTTCATCCCGAGTCTTCGAGACACACGGAGCTCTTGATACCCACGGGAGGGGAGGGTGCACGTGCGGCAGGGGCGCTCCTCCCGTAGTGCCGAGGTAGTTTCGCCACTCTCGAGCCACTTCCTCCTCTCGCCACGCAAACCCACAGGCCACCCAGAAGGGAGCCTTACTCAACAGAAACGCAGCAACCACCCCCCAACGTTTACCGGCCGGGAATTTCCTTTATAACCGGGCAACATTTTTTTTGTATGCCAAAAATTGGACAAAATGGTAAAACCAAAGAGTGTGGATCCTTGCAGTCACGAAAACTTCAAATCTAGAATTGGTCGTATGTGCTGTGTATATGTTGAACCAAAAAGCCACTGATGTACCAGCAGACGGAGAATGCAGGAAACACTTCCTCTGTAGGACTTGCATGTATGTATGCTGAGGTGCAGTGAGGAAAAAAAAGTATTTGATCCCCTGCTGATTTTGTACGTTTGCCCACTGACAAAGAAATGATGTCTATAATTTTAATGATAAGTTTATTGGAACAGTGAGAGACAGAATAAAAACAAAATCCAGAAAAACGCATGTCAAAAATGTTATGAATTGATTTGCATTTTAATGAGGGAAATAAGTATTTGACCCCTCTGCAAAACATGACTTAGTACTTGGTGGCAAAACCCTTGTTGGCAATCACAGAGGTCAGACGTTTAATGTAGTTGGCCACCAGGTTTGCACACATCTCAGGAGGGATTTTGTCCCACTCCTGTTTGCAGATCTTCTCCAAGTCATTAAGGTTTCGAGGCTGACGTTTGGCAACTCGAACCTTCAGCTCCCTCCACAGATTTTCTGTGGGATTAAGGTCTGGAGACTGGCTAGGCCACTCCAGGACCTTAATGTGCTTCTTCTTGAGCCACTCCTTTGTTGCCTTCGCCGTGTGTTGTGGGTCATTGTCATGCTGGAATACCCATCCACGATCCATTTTCAATACCCTGACTGAGAGAAGGAGGTTCTCACCCAAGATTTGACGGTACATGGCCCCGTCCATCGTCCCTTTGATGTGGTGAAGTTGTCCTGTCCCCTTAGCAGAAAAACACCCCCAAAGCATAATGTTTACACCTCCATGTTTGACGGTGGGGATGGCGTCTGGATGTTTTTTTAATTAACAGTGATGAAAATAAATTTTGATTTAAAGCTTTCGTGACTGCAGTAATTCATATTCTTAGTTTTTTCGGTAAAGTCACGTTGAAGGGAAACAACAAAATAATAAAATATATAATAGTGATGAAAATACTTGTAAAAATTTAATAAAAGTGATTAAAAGCAATGTAGAATTTAAATAATGTGCAGGGAAATTGTGGCTAAAAGTACAGGGCAATGTGGTTTTCAAAACTATTAAAATGAGGTTAAGAAGCCATTCAATCAAACTAACAAACTAAATTACTGTATAATGTAGTGCCCAACTTATATCGCCTGTGCTCTTGATTTCAAATTTCTGTACATTTTACATCTCACATAAATTGGTGGGGTGTCAGGTTCTTATTGATAGTGCGTGTTTATGTGACAATCAGTGACCCTGGTAATGTACCAAATACTCATTATACCTGGATTGATGGCAACTCGAGTTCATGTATATGAAGTGCTCTTCGTGTAATCTTTACAACAGCAATACCAATACCATGGCAATGCCTAGAAATTTCAGGATCAAGATGACTTGGAATTGCCTATACCTCAAGATTTTACTCAATTGAGGGATGTAATTGGAGGGGTCAAAACTCGGTATTGACATTACAGGAAAGAGGATTAAGCACCATTATCATTCTTAGTTATGTCACCATTCATGAGTGAAGTCACAGGTTCATGCCACAAACCTAATTGAGTAGTTTGCGGATGATTTTACAAATGTGGACAAAGATAACGGCACACAATGGCCGACTCTTGCGAATGACATCACAGAATCTTTAACATCCACTCTAAAGCAGACCGCGTATTTGTATGGTTATTACATCTGCAGTATTACCCAGGGCGGCCACTGGATTCGAACCGTGAACCTGTGTACCAATCCTGAAACACAATCCAACCTGCCCACATTACTGCCCAAAAATACATTAAATAAATTATAATTTGAACAATATATAGATATGGACTTGTAAAATCTGACACAAAAGCATGTCACCTCTGGAAAGTACAAATCTTTTCCAGATGATGGTTATCTGCTCATGCTTGCATATGCACACATGCACCCACACATACACACGCAAGTGCACAACATTGATTGAAGTGATTTTGTAAAATATCGATGCCTTCAGCAGAACCACATTCTCAAATAAAACAGAATTCTCAGTCTTAGTAAAGTTATTCAGAATTTGCATTATTATTTAAAGACCATAAAAGCAAGTTCAACACAACATCAACTTATCCATAATATAGGCACACATAACTGTGTGAAATCGTAAGAATCACGCACCACTGGCTCTACTCATCTCACCGAGCCAAGATTACCCACCGCGATTCAAAATCTTTCAATCAGTTCACCGGTACATTCAACAGTATAACGCACACACAGATGCCAAAAATGCATTTGTTTTGCCAGAGAAATGTAGAGTCCGCATTTCTCGAATCCTGTCTTATATTTCGAACGCAATCTATCACATTAACAGACTCTCATATATCATTCATAACGATTCGTTCGCTGAAACAGTGTTAGAAGTCTTAAGTAAAAAAAAAAAATCCTTGTTTTTTTACTCTATATTTTGGGGTTATATAAGCAAAGTTACACCAATTATGCTGCTTTAATTATGCAATGAGGTGAAGAAATGTTCTTTTGAAACACAACGAGCAGAGCAATCCATCAAGTCAGGAAACAGCCCCTAGACATGACACCACAGAAGCACTTCCTGAAATGACGCCAATAACTCTTTCATTCCCAATACAACATGGCACTCGTTCGCGTTTGTAAAAAAACTGTTTACTGCACATTACTCACTCCATATACCTAGAAACTTCAACTGTCAGAGCTGTGATAAACAAAATTAATAGTCCTTTTTTAATCTTCCTACAATAATAGGTGGTCTGGCTGATACCATGAAACGCATTACACTTGAAATCGTGGTTTGATCTGGGATGGCTTCCACCAAAATTTTAACCAATAATTCTCAGCATTGCTGGGTCTGTGTGCTGACAGCAATTATGAGCCTCCTGAACCAACCTGGGCCCACTCAGCTAAACTCCGTGAAGGCAACCCACGTGCCCTGTAGACACAACCGACCATAAGCTGGTGGAGGTGTGGCAACTGGCAACTTCAGACCCTGATGTCAAGTACTGAAGCACACCATCGGGTGGCCAGTAAGGCACAGTGCACTGCTGCGCGGTGTCGCTCACAGCTTGCTCTTCCACTTTCCCTCCTCTCCTTCTCCCACTCTGACTGCAATGGCAACAAAAGTAATTGAGAATTCGTTAGCGAACCCGCGGGAGCCACAAATGCCACACGCGTGACACGGACGTGCGTGCCTACACGAATACACAGCGGACATAAGACACTGGTGAGCAAAGAGTCAGGCATGGTGGTGCATGCCTGCGATCGAGCACTGTGCAGGCAAGGGGTTGGTGGCTAACGTCGAGATTTGTGAAACTCACAAACCTCACTGGGCTGTGGGGGTTGCCATGAGATGACAGCACAACTAGTGGGTTCGTGAACCTATCTGCATGAATCGGTCTTCTCCATGATTGGGTTTACCGGGATACTACTTTAGTTTCTTCATACATTTAAAACGCTCATAAAATGTAAACGGACATATATCCCAATGCAGGCACCTCCTGAAAAAGAGTTGTGAGACTTGGGCATTATTGTGTAAATAAATAACATGAATTAAATATATTCAAAATTACATGAGCTAATTAAACCATGAACACTTTATAACAAATGCATTGATTTACCTCTTCGTGAACATTATTAAAAGCACAAATGCAACATAAATGTAAAATAGAACACCGCTATCAACACACAGGAACAAATAGAAACACAAGACTATTATGGACATGTGGGTGCTGTTCTGTTGTATGCAACCGCATTCTACTCAGTTTCCTCTCAATGTGTCGTTCCTCATTTTTACTACACAATTTGGGATGTTAGTGACAAACCCAGCGCCCTATATATCAACATGTCAAGAACTGCCCGGATGACAGTGATGTGAACTGGACAATGTTGAATGGAATTCGCATCGATGCTGGACCCATGGGACACTCACCAATTGCGCCCTCCTTCTCCAACTTCTTGAGGTGCTGGTGCAAATTCCAGGATGCTGCCTTATACAAGTGTTCAGGAGTGTCCTAACACACGAAACAAAGGTCGTGAACACACGCGTGTGTAGTGGTATAAGTGTGTTGTGTGCGTTTGTTTGTGTGTGTTGCATTTCAGAAAATGGTGCAATGACATGGTGTAATATAGGTTATACGATTTTATGTATTTTTGCGGTAGTGTGCTATGCACCCGGCGATCCGGGTTCGATTCCCGCCCACGTATGCGTGTATGTTGAACTTCTTTCGCACCATACGTCGCCAACCGTGACGATTATTTGAACTGGTCCTGGGCCTCCCCTCGGTTGACTCGGCCTCAAATGAGTACCTGATGTGGTGTGTAAACATCGCCACGAGGGAGACTGTGTGTGCTGTGCCAGCCTTGATAGGTGCTTGCTAAGACCACTTGTCCCAACAGTGTGTTGAGGCTATACGGGGATCTTTGTATTTGTATATTTTGCATGTGGGTTTAGGCGTTGGGAAACAGTTGTCTCCAATTCTGGCTGTTCTTGTCCGGCTATCAGAACTACACAAGTCTCTCCCGTGACCATCTGTCCACAAGCATTCGCTCGATTACGCATGTACTATTCAGCTCTGTGTTAATCCACTGAAGGTTTCCCTACACTGTTCGGTCAGGCAGGTTGTTGGCCCACAATGCACCACACTGGCCAATCGCATCCATGTGGCTCTTGGGCAATATGTTCCCTACCCCGCTTTAACAGGTGCTCCCTAACTCCTAAGAGAGAGTTTCACAACAGGGATGCTACCAGGGCTGCAATGGTTAGCACACTGGACTTGCAATAAAGTATGGAGGTATTGGGTATGGCGACCCAGCTCTTCCAAGATGACTGGCCAACGTGGAGGATGTAGGCCAAAATATCCTTTAGAGCGGCTCTCTAGACCCATCTCTCGCGGAATCCCTTCTGCCAGCGGTGGCGTGAACAAGACATTTTGCGGGGCTGCACCTTTACCCTAACAGGTATATTACACCATCCAAACGATTAAGAGACTTACATGGGCTTGGGCACGACAAGTCGCGAGAAAACACGATGGGCAGTGGTCAAGAATAATGCCGGAGCGGCAGAGGATATCGACAAAGGAGACGGAGCAATGTAGATGCCGGGTGAATTGCTACACGACGAGATGGCAAGAGGCGACTGCGCCTTGGGTAGGAGGCCTTAATCCAGCGGTGGATCGATTGTGTGGCAACGGCGAAGGGGTATGCCAGGCCTCCCCACCCTCGTCGCTGCGTTGTACCGTGTACACGAGGCGCACAAGCTCCTCCAGCGAGAGCTCTTTCCCGGCGTGGGCGCTGACGATGGACATCACCGCCCGCTCGCGTGCCTGCCGGTGTGACACGTAGCCGCGGATTTTCTCCTGCGCATCCTGCACCACCGGCCCGTGGCCTGCGGGAGACACAACGGGTACGGCTTGACGTCGCGTGCAATTCGACGAATCGTCGTCGGCTTCAGGGCCAACGTTTAAATCAGCAATTGAATCCCAGGGACACACTTTCCCAGGTCAGTCTTATAAATTATACTCATCATGGACTTGTGAGTTCTCACCTGGTTAAACAAAGTCGACTTGAACCTGAACTGTGGTGTTCAGGGTTAGGCCGTATGTTGAGCATGCCAGCAAAATCCACCACATGCGGCTCTATCGAAGGGGCATAACGTAGAACACACTATCACAGGACCAAAAAATAATCAATGTCTCCCATACTGTGCCGAAAACTGTCAATATATATACACACCTATATGTCAACTTGACTCTTTGCAAAATTCATGGGTACTATTTGGCTCTTGGTCTGTTCCAGGTTGGCCACCCCTGTGCTAGAATGTAATATTTTGTCACGTTTGGATCATCTCGTTTGTATTGTCTCACTTTTTTGGTGTCGATAGTACCGTACACTACAGTTCGCAAGGCTGGATTATGGACCGGGCCAGTGGGGCCAGTGTCCCGGGACCTCGAACTGCCAGGAAGCCTCCAAGCCTCAGGCTGCGCGTAGTGCGTGGCCCAAGACTTCCGAAGGAAGTTGAACACCAGGGCCCTCAGTGCGCACAGCGCAAGCTGACAATTAGGTCCCTGGGGGCTTTTCGCTTGAGCTCACCACTAGGGCCACCAAGACCACCTCAGTGCTTACAATGTGAGGGCCCTCCAGACCCCTTGGGGCTTAAAGAGTGAGTTGGCCACTAGGGCCACTAGGGCCCCTGGGGCTTAAAGCGTGATCAGACCACTAGGGCCCCTGGGCCCCTCGGCACCTACAGTGTGAGGGTCTCTGGGCCCCTCAGTGCTTAAAGCGTGAGCTGACCACTAGGGCCCCCGGGCCCCGCAGCCCTTACAATGTGAGGCCCCTCGGTGCTTAAAGCGTGAGCTGACCACTAGAGGCCCCCGGGCCCCGCAGCCCTTACAATGTGAGGCCCCTCAGTGCTTAAAGCATGAGCTGACCACTAGGGCCCCCGGGCCCTGCAGCGCTTGCAATGTGAGGCCCCTCGGTGCTTAAAGCATGAGCTGACCACTAGGGCCCTCCGCCCCCGCAGCCCTTACAATGTGAGGCCCCTCGGTGCTTACAGCGTGAGCTGACCACTAGTGCCCCCGGGCCTCTGGGTGCTTACAATGTGAGTTCACCACTGGGGTCGCCAGGCCCCTGGGTGCACACATCGAGCGTAACACCTGGGGGCCCCTTGGTACACACAGTGCATGCTGAAAACGAGAGCCTCTCGGAGAGTGCAGTGCTTCTGTACAACTGAGCCACTGGTTGGCACACTACAATACGCTGTGACATGATACAATATTCACCAACAAGTCAGTTCATTCTGCATAACAGGACAGTTTGAAGGGCGTCATATTATGGCAAGACGTTCGTTATTTTACTTACCGTAACTGGTCATCCCTTTATTTTAGTTAGCTGCCCATTTTCCCTAGCTAGCTGCCCATATGATTCAGCTTGTTAACAGAAATTAGTTAGCTAGTTGCCATTTTTGCCAGCTAGCTGCCCTTACAACCAAATTAGCTACACTAAAAAGCCAGGTCGTGAGACCGAGGGCTCACCGTTTGTTGAGAGCTTATTTAGGGGTTGAAAAATCAATTATTAAAAATACACCGTGGTTTTGTGAAACATTAAAAAAATACGCCAAAAGCTATATTTTTTCATACACTAATGCATATATAAGAGACCCATTCCATACTTAAAGATTAAGGAAAACCCCATTCATTTTTTTCCATAGACCGTTTGTTTTTAGATCCACGGAAGTCGATAATGCCAACGTTGACATGCAAATTGTCGACAGCTCTTACGAGATATTTTTTTCCCCTCCCCATCGATGGGGTGTGGTCTATGTGCATAGTCTCCACCATGTAATTTCACTGACTTATCAGAAACCTTTGTTGGTTGTTCAGGCAATGATTTTTTTTTCATGTGGTGGAGCGATTCCTGGGCTTTGAGAGCCACACTGGTAAAAGTTGAGCAGACTGTGTGACTTTGATGGTGGAGGGCCTTGGGTTGGACCTCTCAAACTGTAGAGGTCAGTCATATGACAATGCAAGCAACATGTCAGGAAAATACAATGGGCCACAGGCCCACCTGAAACAAAAAAACTTCTCTGATAGAGTCTGTGCTTTGCGCAGCGCATTCACTTAACTTAGTTGGTGTTGACACCTTAGACGGCAGTAGCCCAGAGGCTGACGAGTTTTTTTTAACATGTCGCAGTCACTGCACAAATTTTGTTCTTCATCCACACACAGATGGAGGAAAGTCTTTCGGAAGACAGATGTCAGACTGGCATTAAAATCGTTGTCCAGTACTCGGTGGAGTGCTCGGGCAGAGTCAACCAAGGCACTGTGGAGAAATTACACCCACATTAGAGAGGCCTTCGGTGGTATGTGCAATGATGATAATGAGAAAAGAGATACTCGAATTGAGGCCACTGGACTATGTGCTAAATTGGACACCTTAGAGATGGTGTTCATGGCACATTTCTGGGACGTCACACTTGACCGGTTCCACGCTACAAGCATGCACCGACAGAAAAGTGACATTGCCATCTTTGTAGCAGAGCAGCTTTTGTCTTCGTTGAGGGATTTTGTTGTGGGACAGCGAGACCAGTTTGAGGCTTTTGAAAGGGCAGCCTTAAATGTGACAGGTGTCTCTCAGTCATATAAGCACGATCTTCAGCGAAAGAGGAAACGCAAACACATTTGCAGATATGAGCTCAGAGCCAGGTGTGACACTTGAGGGGAGGGAGAAGTTCAACATAGAAACATTTTATGTGGTCACATTGCAGGCACTTAATCTACAGGCAGTGTTCCCCAATGTTTTTGTGGCACTTCGGATTCTTCTAACTTTGCCAGTGACAAACTGCCAGGGTGAGCGGACATTTTCCCTTTCAGGCAGAATAAAGAATGAGCTGCGGAGTAGCATGTTGCCAAACACGTCTCAGCTCATTGTCACTTATGTCAATAGAGTCAGACCTTGTCAGACAGCGATATTTTGACGATCTAGTGGATGATTTTGCAAGGAGGAAGGCAAGAAAGACACCAATATAGGAAAGTGAGGGAGGCCTCCAAAAGACATGTGCCCAGGGGCCTCACGGGACCATGATCCGGCCCTGACCGTTTGCCCCATTAGCATAAATCTAACGTAGGCATATCACTTGCACAAGCTGTAACTGACCGAGTCTCACGCGTACACATTGATGCATTTATCGCGAGCATTGTCAAATCGCTTTCTATACTTAAATCCGCAGGGCTACATCTGTCCAGTGTCCGCCTCCTCCTTGTCACCCCACACCTCCCAACCCCCCTTTCTTGTCTGATGCCGAGCACGCGATTTGTGCTTTCAGCTGGGCACGTTCTACTCTGCATCAACCTCCGCTTGGTGGGAGCTCGCTTCTTCTTCTCATCCTCCTCCATTGCCCCCCCCCCTGCCGCCCCATGTCTGCCACTCTCCTCTCCCCCTGTTTAAGTTTATGCTTACACCATTTCGAGCACCTCCTGCCTCCAATAAACCTTTCACTTTTCAGAGACACCGACCCTGTTTGTTGAATCGTTGTCCGGTTTGCTCCTCTCGCAGCGAGAAAGAATACCCCCAAACGTACGGAACTGAACACAAATTGACCCGACTGTGAACACCTCCATGGCTTATTGCTACCCTGTAAAAATCTGCCTGTAAATCCCCCTTTTCTGATGACTGCGCATTGAGACACAACTATATTTCGATGCGATATACAGGCAACTCCTCACTGTGATATATTGCATTCATGAATAACTATGAGAAAAAATAAAACGTATGTATAAAACACAACGAGGTTTATCTTCTTTCTTGGCCACAAGTCCCATTATTGAATAGGGTCAGCTGCTCAGATTGCTCTCTCTATGCTCTTGCCTTTAGCATCCCGGTTCAAGGCAGCATCCAACAAGCTGATGAGCCGCAGGAAGTATAAATCTTAAGAGTTTGCTGGAACTAACCCTATTGCAAAAAGTTGGCGTGACAGGCCCAATAGTCGATGGAATCAATATTTACTCCATTTCTAAGGGTGACGAACCATCGCCTGTACATGCATGTATAAAAGGGACAAGCTAACCATGTTATTTCTCAACAGCCTGTTACATCGTTAGGCTAATGAGCTTAGTTTATATACCATCCAATCTCATCAGATCTTGTAGGATAAGCAGGCATCAGCCTGGATAGGGTCTGGATGGGCAACCGCCATGCATGACAAGTGTTATAGGCTACAAAGTGCAGGGTGGCAGGAGAGAGGGCCGCACAGAAAATTACACTGTTGTACTGTGCTTCTATGCCCCATGTCTAAGCATCTTAGACATGGGGCATATGCGATGCATCAGCATAAGCTGTACTAGGCATTGGCAACAGTGGTCTCTCCGTTCACATTCTTAGTTCCCTTATCAGTGCTCGACAGCCTGACCTGAGCTCACAGCTCATACGCCCCTAACTCACTCGCCCACAATGGGGAAACAATGACGCGGGCCCCTTCAGCAGGCTTGTGAAAGAAATAAAACCGCGGTAAGTCTGGTCAGCATTTCAAGCTCACAAGGCTTTGGGGGGGGGGGGGGCACTTCCGTCAAAGCCTGGCAAAGAAATGCCCTTCGTGTGACTCAGGCTGTATCAGACGGTGAGCAGCACCAGACCACCAGGGGCTGGGCACTGTCAAGGGACACATCAACCCCAACGCGTGTATCTAAATGCCTATATTGTGCGCACGTGACGTGCATCACAGTGGGCTCTTTACGGAAAACACGACACGAGTCTCGACACTCTTTCTCAGAATCGTGCCATTGGGTGGCAAGTTTGGCCAATTTGTTTTAAATAAGTGTTTGTGTATCCAGCGGAAATTCGTCGCACGCCAGGAGATAACAATCAAAGGGCTGTAAAGATAGTTTCGTGAATGAACTTGCTCTCCTGGCATCTCCTGGCCACCTTGTAGTCAAGCAAATTTGAGCATTTCAGGGATCTGTCATCCACCAACCATTGCCTTCTAAGCAGTGGATTAAAGATGTCCGCCACTGGGCCCAGCATCTCTCTCAGTCTGCCTGTTACTTTACTGTGATCTCCATGGCGCTTGAACCAATGTTTGTTCGGAATGCTTTGGCTTTCTCCCATACACAGATAAACCAGATAAATAAAAAACGATGGGTATTATTTCTAAGTTGAGATCAGGGCGAGACCAACTGGATATCTGCCAACTTGGCATTACGGCCTGTTTGATGTAGCTACAGTAAATATATTATTACAATGATAGTTTTGCAACACTTGCTGGTGAGTAATGTGGAAAAGGTTCAACATGTCCAAAGTTACATTCATACCTATGCAAAATAGTCATCGTTTGTGCAATTAGCTACACAGTGAGATTGGTGCAAAGTAATAAGGTAGGCAAATATTCACGTCTCTCTGAATGACATGGTATTGAGGCATAAATATCAAGTTATTGTCTGGGCAGTATTGCAAAATGATGTCCTTAACATGGCTTATGGACATCCTCCAGGATAAATACATTTTCTGATTCTGATTACGGGTATCACTGGGTATGATGATGCAGGATGTGAGTTTGAATGATATGGTGTTTGGCGTACTGATCAGTACCATGGTACAAGAGAAATTTGATGAGCCCCCTGATAGACTCCCCCTGAAAGTCTACCAGGCAGCATGTCCCACTTGGAAAAGACCCAGGGGCCAGCCCAGGACACGCTGGTGGGACTACGTTGCTCGGCTGGACTGGGAACGCCTGGGAATTCCCCAGGAAGAGCTAGAGCCTGTCTCCAGGGAAAGGGAGGTTTGGACCGCCCTACTCAACACGCTGCCATAGCGACCCTCACCAGACTGAGAAACGAACGAACAAACAATTGTATGAAGTAGATTTTTTTTCAATGTAATGGTATAATATCCCGAACTTTTGAGTTTCATGGTATTACGTTATTAGTGACTGTCATGACATGAAAGCACACATGGCATGCTATGTTTAATTGAAATTAATTTGATTCAACTTCATTTCATACAGTACCTTATCATGATAATTAGCATTTCAAAGCACTTTACAATGCCATATGCCCTTTCAGTGTCATGCTACCATGTTAATTGCTCACAAAGAAATTGGAATAAAATCTGAACAGCGCGTGGCAAGTCGAGTTAAATTCATGAGGAGGAGTGGGGGAGCAGGGCATCGGCATTTATGTCGCGCCCCTTGTGAGTACCGGGCCCCCCCCCCCCCCCAAGGAAGCCGATGGTCCAGACCAGCAGTGACCGAATTTAACGAGCTCCGACTGATACAAATCCCGGTCTCGGCGCCAACGGCAGCTCTGACGTCCTGGTGCCCCGGGCCCACACTTCGGGTTCTAGAGCTTAAGGTCGAGGCTCCTTCGGCAGCCGAGTGCCATTTCATCGGCATTCCCGCTCGCCGTATAAACTCACAGGCACGCGTACGTGTGCGTGACACCCGCGTGTCCTCTGGGCGTCGGTGGTTACCGGGGTATATGAGCTTGGGCTTGAGATTGAGCAGCAGGTCGAGCGAGCGCATGTACGTGTAGAGGTCCTCGAACACGGCCGTGCCCTCGCCCAGGATGCAGTCGCCCGAGAAGACCGAGCCCTCCTCCTCCAGCAGCAGCACCATGTGGTCGTCCGTGTGTCCCGGCGTGTACACCACCCTGCACGCGACGCCGCACCGCCCACGCCCACCAGCGCCGCCGGCGCTCATTGGGGGTTCTCGCGCACACGCGGAAACCGAGCCCACCCCGGCATTAGACGCCGATCGCTTACCGGAGCGTGGCCCCCTCGGTGGTGACGACGTCGCCATCGCGCAGGAACGTGTACTCCAAACCCTCGCCGTCCAACACCTCCTCGCGCCGTGGCGGCACTCGCGGTAGTTTCGACAGCCGCACACCGGTACCTGCGCTCCACCACCGCCGCCGCAGCCGCCACCACCGCGTTCACCATCACCATCCACCACATCACGCAAAACTGGCCACACTGCCAAAAATACCCACCCCCGCACGCCGTTGTCACCTTTACAAATACAGCTGCGTGCCTCAAGAGAGCGAATGCCATGTAAGAGTACTGAGCTGGGACCAGTTTGTAAGTATACATGTTCAGCTTCTTTCGCACCGTACGTAGCCAACTGTTTTAATCGGAGGTGCAGAAAGAATGCCGCGTTCACATGGCCACTCGGAAGGGAATCGGCTTGGCTCACAAACCAGACAAGTGGTCTCAGCATGGATCCCCATGTTGGCCTTACCGGGTCAATGCCAGCACCAACTGGGCCAAATGGTAAATGTTTTACTGGTTGTTTGGCTTTCTTTTCTAAGGGATTAAAGGTGGCCGCAACATTTTGCCTCCTGAAGGCAGGAAACCCGCTACATGCCACACCCAGAGCCACGCGGCTGATGATGCCGATGGCATCACCAAGTCCCGCACATCACTTACCATCCAGCAGCACACGTGGGAACATTTGAAAAATGTTTCCAGCTATTTTCGTGTTATCCCATTAGTTAAGTAATGTAAATTATAATCGATAGCATAATCAATGATTTCAATAATCAGATAGTTCATCTTTGCGCAAGACCATTTTTCTCTACCTCCTCGTGGTGCCGGACGGGCAACGCTGTCGTGGGCAGTGCTGTGGGGGGAGGGCCAATTCCGATTGGCCTTTCCCCTCATGGCGTTTGTAATCACCACAGCGGCCAAAAGGAGGCTCTGGACCAGTGCGAGGGGCTGATAACCTCTCCACGTTCAATTAATTACCGCTAAACCACGACGCATTTTTTTTAATAAGCTTGTGCCGGAGGCCCCGGGGGGACAGGCGTCTATGACGTCTCCTGGCCAAACCCCATTTGGCGGAGCCAGGAGACCGAATCCTTACCCTCAGGGCTTCTCCAGAAACAACAAAAAACCACGTGTGGCCACGTGGAGTGTTCGAACACTCATTGCAGAGGAGAGGCTGCCACTCCTCTGTCGGGAGCTGGACCGGTACCGCCTGGATCTCTGTGGTATTCAGGAGGTCCGGTGGACCGGCTTTGGCTCCTGCCACCATGAGGGGTGGACAGTCCTCTTCTCAGGGCAGGAGACTGCCATGAGGCGTGGGAAGCTGTAAGCCCTAGGCTACTTTGGGCTCGCCTTCCCATCAACCAGAGGCGAGGAGTGGTGGTCGTGGTTACTTATGCCCCCACTTAAGACGAACATCCGGGAGGGATGCAGGCAAGGCCGATGAGTCAGATGCCTTCTATAACCTCCTGTCACAGGTGCGAGCTAAAGTGGCCCCTCAGGATAGAGTTATTTTGTTGGGTGACTTCAATGCCCGAGTTGGTCATGATGCTGGCACCTGGTCTGGAGTGATTGGAAGGCATGGGCCAGATCAGCTCAATAACAACGGCAGGAGACTGCTAGATTTTTGTGCAGCCTATGGGCTTGTAATTACCAACATGCTGTTCCAGCATCGGCGCATCCACACAACATCATGGATGCATGCCGGGTCCAAGCAAGAACATCTGCTGGACTACATAGTGACGGAATAGCGGATGCGGGCCCATGTCCTTGACACCAGGACCTACCATGGAGCTGATCTGCCCACTGACCATCGACTTGTCATCTGTAAGATGCGCCTGCCAATCTTCCACTCCAGTGGTGGGTGTACACCCAGGACCTCATTCAAACCCTTAGTGGCTTGGTCTCAGCTCGCTGATGAAAGTTGCAAGCGACAATTTAATCGCTTGCGGCTGGGGTTGGCATCGTCCTCCACTCCTCCTGATGTCGAGGGGAAATGGGCGAGGTTTATGATTGTGGCTCATGCAGCTGCAATGGCTACTTTAGGTACACGGTCCAGACCTCCCCAGAGACCCTGGCTGACAGAGGAGGTGTTCAAGCTGGCTGAGAAAAAGCGACAGGCCCACTCTCATCGGCTACAGTATCCCACGTCGGAGAATGAGGAGGCTTACCGCAGCCTTCGCTCGGAGGTTCGGAGAGCCGTAAGGCGCTGCAAGGATGGGTGGTCGCGGGTTGCTAAGGAGATGGAGTCTGCCTCAATGGCCCACGATCACAAATCGCTCTTTAATGCCATCAAAAAAGTAACCTGCAGCGCCATACTCATTACCATCATTAGGGGAAAGAAAGGTGATCCAATCTCCGACCCCCAGGAATAGGTTTGCAGATTTGCTGAGCATTTCTGAAGTCCTGGGGGAGGGGACATCCCTCAGCCTGGATAACGTGGGACAAAGTGGGGATGACCCTGCCGAGGCTGCGGTGCATCAAATATTGGAAGTCACCCCCTGTGAGTGGCTGGCTGAGGTGCCATCTGTTGAGGAAGTACTGAAGGCGATCCAGAATCTGAGACCAGGAAAGGCACCGGGCAGAGATGATCTCCCAAGTGAAATGCTGAGGGTGGCGTTTGTGCACAGACTGCCCTAGATGACATCATAACAACAGTCTGGACCACTGGATGGGTTCCGCAGGACTGGAAGGATGCCCTGGTGGTCCCCCTCTTGAAGAAGGGGGACCACACAGACTGTAACAACTATAGAGGCATCTCACTCCTCAGTGTGCCGGGAAAGGTCCTGGCAAGGATTATTCAACATCGCCTTGCTAGGCACGCTGAGGAGAAATTTGCGGAGCCCCAATGCAGTTTCAGGAAAGGGCGGTCCAACAAAGATGCCATATTTTCTGTCCGTCTGCTACAGCAGAGGTGTAGGGAATTCGAACAAGACCTACATCTCTGCTTTATTGACCTGGTCAAGGCCTGTGATACCATCAGTAGGCCTGGGCTCTGGGTTCTTCGTGCTTTCGGAGTCCCTGACCCTCTGCTCACGATCATCAAGGACCTTCATGATGGTGAGCGGGCCCGAGTAAAACTACGTGGCCGGGAGTCGGAGCCAATCCCTGTGCACCTTGGGATGTGACAGGAATGTACTCTGGCTCCCTTATTATGTAACATCTATTTCGACCACGTAGTTCGTGAAGCCTTCAATAGCTGTACCGGAGAAATTTTCACCTGGTACAGATACAATGGGAGGCTGATTGATGCCCGGGTGCGGTCAAGGGATGGCTCCCTATTGCTCAACCATGTGATGTATGCCAATGATCTGGTATTTGCTGATCACTCAGAGGAGGAGTTGGAGGCGCTGCTGCTGAACCTGGAGCATGCCGCTAAGAGGTGGGGCCTTATCATCAGCCCCACCAAAACTAAGTACCTTCCTGGGTATTTTGTACCATTCGACACTCTACCCTCACAACTCCCAATTGGTGATGGGGCAGTTGTGGACAGAGTGGAGAGTTTCCCATACCTGGGCAGTGTGCTCATGACCGGCTCCGGTTTAACAGCAGAGATCTCACTCCGAATCAGTCGAGCGGCATTATCTTTTCATCGGTTGCATAACGCTGTGTGGAAGCAACATGGTCTGTCGCTCCGCACGAAGCTTAAGGTCTTCTCGGCCACGGTCATTCCCTCCCTTCTCTACGCTTGCGAAACGTGGACACCCCTAATGGAACATCTTCGCCGGTTAGAAACATTTAGGCTGGCCTGTCTACGATCCATCCTGGGTTTAACCAGGCTGGATTGTGTGAGCTCACAAATCCTTGTAAGTCCCATTGGTGAGCTCCTCCGGCAGGCAAGGCTGCGTTGGCTGGGCCATGTAGCCCGCATGCCCAGCCACCGCATGCCTAAACAGCTTTTGTCCGGTCGGATCGAGGGGGCTAAACGGGCGCGGCATGGGCGAGAGAAGAGATGAGTGATGTAGTACAGGAAGATGTGGAACTGAGTGGATTTGTCAATGACCAGTACCAGCGGTGTCAAGATCGGCCTCTGTGGAGGAGGCTCGTGAAGGACGCTACTGGGCAGTTGGAGGCAGTCGCCCTCCAACAACAACGGAGGGCGGAGGAGCGACGCTCACAACAACGAGCGGAACGCCAGGTGGCTAAAGCACAGCAAGTTGGCACAATAGGGGGCACAGGTGGTTCATCAACCAGTCGTCTCGGTCAGTCGACCCGTGGCACCTGGGTCTGCCACGTGACCTCCTGCCAGCGGGCGTTCGACACTTCACGTGGCCTCAAGGTGCACATAGCCTGGCACAAGCGTCAGGGTGATGTCACCGCCACTTAGTGGTGAATGGCGGTTGTTGTTTTTGTTGTGGGACTATGGAGGTGGGATTGTTGGATTATGCAGTGACCATGCAGTATGGATGTATGTTGAACTTCTTTCACACCATACATAGCCAAACACACTCATCAGAGGTGATCACCAAGTTTATAGCAGTGCGTAAGACACCCACCTACAGGGACATTCAGGTGGTTGGTAAAGCAGATTACTGACCTAACTATGGACTTTATTGTGTTGTCATTCTTTGTGTATATTTCCTTATGGGCACTCCGGTTTCCTCACACATGTGGAGAGCACTCGAAAAATAATTGGTTAAACATCCCAAGTAGAGCCCTCCTGAAAGAAAACTATAAAAAGCTATAAACAATCAACTATTTTTTTTTATTTTACCACGTAAAGCCCACTAGGCTATATAGCTCTTTCAGAAGCGACCTGGCCCCAAATGATAGCTTGACATCGGTAGCAAGTGTTATCTGAACCAGTGCTGGCCTACACTCCCTTCATCAAACCACATCAACCACCGTGGTGAGGTCAAACAACCCCCATGACCGACAAGGCATGGGGAGGCTTTTATCCAATCATGAACTGACAAAGAGCTGCAAATTGTTATCTGTTTTTCTTAAGATATTACTATTGTTGCAATACTTAGAAGGGTCATACTTCGGAATGTATGTTTTAAGCAGAAACCCAATTATTCTGTACACCTAAAACAGAACTAGTTCCAGAGGTAGCCACGCTTGTACTCAACTACCAAATTGTCTGTTTCAAAAAGCCAGCAAAAAGCTGTTTCCACAGAAAAAACGAATGCAACATACATTTTGAGTCGACTGTTGGAAAATATGCCGTAATGGCACCAGATTTCAAATAACACAAATACATTCAGACTGCTTCCACAAGATTTCATGCAAAATAAATATCGGTGCCAAATAATTGACTCATTAAATGTGATAAAAATTTGATGTCAGTAAACAAGAAAGCCTTACTCAGTCCAAAAAACTTGCATCTCCAAAAGGGTCCTGGATTGTGATGTTTGGCCAATCCTTCATAGAGTAATTTCACACGTGGGAGGAATAAAAGTGCCAGGGGAAAACCCTGGCACGTTACTAACATGCTGGACAGGTAGGTCAGTCCCCGGGGCGATACATAGTCCTGCAAGATCCTCAATAGTTCTCCAGCTAGCGCCTGCACATACGCGGATTTCATCTCCCCATCTCTTTGATAACACGTCCACGAGATGAAGCAATGAAATTAGCTTATGTGCGGGTGCTCGGTGGAGTATGACATTGCAATATTGTTCTTAGGAGATGCTGACAGTTTGGGGAAGCCTTCATCCAGCAGTGAACAGATCATGGCTAATAATGATGATGAATTCTGCAAGCTGGCAGTCACACACTGAATGACTATCTCTACGTGATCCACCAACCCTAACTTCAAAGCACTTCGAGGGAGCCGCAACTTTAAAAAAACTACTTTAATATTGTATATATTAAACGAATACATTATAAGGTCACACTCATTGCAAAGTGTTTGCCAAAAATGAACCACAATACCTTGCTGATCTTGTCAAGGAGCATAAACCATCACGCAAACTCCGGTCATCCTCGCAGCGGCTTTTTGCTATGCAGACGGTAACTACATCGCACGCTTTCAGGTCCACTTATGCGGCCGTCTAGAAAGCTCTTCCTTCCGATATTAGGAAGCTACTTGAACTATGCACTTTAAAATCTAGATTGAAAACGTATTTCTTTTGAACTGCTTTTTGTGTTTAGTTTGCTACCCTTCCCCTGCACCTCCGATTAGCACGGTTGGCTAAGTACGGTGCGAAATAAGTTCAACATGCATACAATACATATATGCACGCATAGGCTGTGGGCCAAGCCGTCCGACACAAAGGTTTGGGAAAGAGGATTGACGGTCACGAGCCACATGTACTCCGTGAGCACTGGCATAGCACCCTCCAGTGGTTTCACAGGCGTGCTCCAATCTACACTCAGGACCAGGCGAGCCCCGGGACCACAGCAACATCACAACGTCAAAACTCGCGGTGCACAGTGGAGTCTGCTCCATTTTAGTCTTTGTAGCACAGAACGCGGAGAGTGATTTTGCACCTTCTCACAAGAGAGGAACAATGCATGCAAATGGTGATTTATAGAGAGCAAAAGCCATAATTGTGACAATTACATCAGTCCTCCAGTCATGTCTGCTATAGAGGAAATGCCAGGGTAATAAAACCTAATTTAATTAAGTTTTCAGAGTTAGAAATATGCCTAAGTGGAAATTGAATTTACCATGCACGTTTTTGTTTGCAGTCACTGGTGGTGGGTGGTGAGACCATCGGCTCACCACACTTGGGTTTGCATCTTCCGTTACTGGGCTCGTTGCTGCAGAAGTTTGTTTTTCTCCAACATTATCCGGATTGTTCTATCAATTGTTCTAACGTCATGAAACTAATCATACACTTGGATCTCGAGCATAGCAATGCAACCCTATCACATGAGAGAACGGCCCATGTAAGCGGATGCCACAGAGCTAACTCTGAAATCCCTTCATTTGACCTCAGGTCACGTGTTGAGCACATCTTCTCTCTCCGTTTAAAATTTCGCTCTGCTCCACACATTAGGGGGGGGGGGGCGGCACTGTCCCACCCGCTGTGCCAATGTGAAAAGCGCTGCCTTGCACGTCTAGTGGCATTGTTGGGCGCGATGTTCGATTACCACGACTCTTAGCCGGTAGTACCGGCCCCGTGTCAACAGGGGGCGGAAGAGAGGCTGAGCCGAATAGTTTCGAATCAGCGGTCCCCAACCTTTTTGGCGCCAGGAACCGGTTTCGTGGAAGACAATTTTTTCACGGACCGGGGGGTGGGGTTCATCATTGGGTCTTTTCCCCTTTTTCAAAGAAGCTCTCCAGCGACGTTCGCTTTTTACTCATTGTGGCTACTAGGGGTTAGAGCTTGTGGGCTTACCAACACTGTGACTGAGACAGGTGCGCAGTGCGTGAAAGAGGCGCGGATGGAAGTGGTAAATAAAATAATGTGGGCAGGCCACATGCGGACTCACCGCTCACCTCCTGCTGTGTGGCCCAGTTCCTAATAGGTCACGGACCGGTACCGGTCCGCGGGCCGGGGGTTAGGGACCCCTGGTTTAGATGAAGTCAGGCCGTTGGGCCGAGGTCACGCCCAGGGAGCATCGTGACTGGAGGTGCAGACCCCAGACCCCCAAGAGGGGGCTGGGGGATGACGTCACACTCCAGGTCCCTCTGGAAGGTTCCAGAAGGAAGGCGTGGCTAGGGGCGGAGTGAGCTGGGACCGTGTATAAAAGCCGGACCCTTGAACGGATCCGGCAGTTGTCGTCCACTCGAAGACTCGAAGCTACCCTGAAGACCTGGAGCCGGGGCCGGAGCCGAGGACCTTGGCTGGGTCGGGTCCGAGCAGCCCCGTGGGTAGGGCCAGAGGACCTTGGCTAGGTCGGGTCAGAATAGCCTCCCTAGGTCCCGCTCGCCGGAGGACCCTTAGTGAGCTACTCCCTCAGTGAGTAGGGCACGCCAGTGTGGAGAACATACCTCCTTAGGGTATCGGGTGGAAGGGGCCATACCCCTTCGTGTTAGGGCTGTTGCTGTTATTGTATAATAAACGTGTTGCCTCCAAACAAGTCTCACTCTCTCTCCATTTATACCCACTACACACGCACCGATGGCGAGGGCACGGCAGACATCGGAGATGCCCCCAACGTGGTCGTGGTGCCAGTGCGTGAGGATGATCTCTTGCACGCTGCTGCCCAGCTGTGCCAGCGCCGTCTGCAGGTTCGCCACGTACTCGGGAATATTGGGCTCCCCCGTGTCGATCAGCACTCGTCTGCCGGTGTCAAGCACACGCACACGGGAGAACATTGCAGCGCCAAAACGAAAACGAGACAACATGGATTCTGCCACACTTTACAACAAGCGGTTCTCCGTGTATCCAATGAGCAATTGTTATGTTTAAACCGCACGACGCAATGCCACACGGCGCGTGCCATGTGACGTCGTGAGATGACATCACACATGACAGCCATGATGACTGTCGGTACAGCAGCTGTTTGTGAGGCATTAGCTTGTCCTCAACATCTGCTTGAATGACACGACATAAAAACATGACTATTGACAATGATCCAATGCTCTCTGGGTATGGGACCACTTAAACATTTTTTACGTTTGTCATCAGAGCTTTGGGTCACAATTTAGCAAGAGTCTGCTTGTACATCTGCAGTACAGCATATGCATGCACGCAGTCATACACATAACTAGAACAATACTAAGCGCATCACTCGTACAAAACCATACCACCAGAAACACTGGGCAGTAGGCCTCGGCAAGGTAAGGTAAAAGATAAAAACAACGAGCCTACCTTTACCCTACCTTTTACCTTACCACAATGCAATCACTCCATTCTAGATTTGAAGCTTTTGTGACTGCAAGGATCCATACTCTTTGGTTCTATTCGGTAAAGTCACGTAGGTAAAAAATAAAACAACAAAAATCACGACGTTTCGGCCACAACACAAGTGGCCTTCATCAGGTGAAGGGACCGTACTGTCACGAGGACAGCGTTGGAGTGAAGACAGTCAAGCCCAGGTCGCGTCTTTTAAGCTGTGTACGTGACTTTACCGAATACAATCACTCTACCCTACCTTTTACCCTTCAGCAGGTAAGGTAAAAGGTTAAAAGCAACGAGCCTACCTTTACCCTACCTTTTACCCTTACCCCATAAAAATTGCCCGATTACAGGGTAATTACTGGGGTACTACACATGAAAAAGGTTTATAACAGGTAAATGGTAGGTAGAGTGCTTCATTCATATAGAATACTCTCGATTATTCCAATTTTACACGCTTTCTTTAAACTCACTCTGTTGTCGTTATCGTTGTTGTATCTTCAAATCTTGTAACTCAATTTTAACCCACTTCCCAATGTGGTTTCGACTGCGAACTTGGTATACTTATGTCATACTGATGACAATACTATATTCTATCATTACAAATATAGTAAAAATATTTATAAAAAAAAATGTATGTTATGTTTCGGCTTGGGTCTAATTGTCCACTGTCAACTGACGTTGGCTGTAATTGCCCACGGTCCCTTACGTTATGGCAAGCTTCGGGGCCACTTCCTGGAGTCGTGGAGTTCTGCCATTAATAGTACATTTCATTAAAGCGTCTTTTAAAAAAGTTTTTTTTAATATCACTTATTAAATGAAGGCCACGGACTGCGCCACGGAGCTTTAAGCAGTAAACAAGGCACCGTATTTACCGGGTAATACTTCACGCTACCTTTACCCTACCGGGTAATTCTTCAGAGCTACCTTTACCCTACCCTTTACCTTACCCCTTAGCATGTCGACACCTTTACCTTTACCCTTTTACCCGCTAAAAAGGGTAAATTACCTTACCTTGCCGAGGCCTACTGGGCAGCTTATGTACTTTGATTTCACGTTACCTATTTTGGCCTGCTTTGATAAGATGCAGGTGTGTACTCCCCATACACATATCTGGTTCAAGTTTAAACGGATGATAATGGATAACGAGTCTCGGTCAAATAACGGAGGTGGTGCCTCACTCTAGCCATTGTTGTACGCAATGCTCATCACTGCATAAAAAAGGTGTAAAATCTATGTAAACAATAACTGTTACACTATTCTGTACACGCACGGCCCTTTAGTGAATCCACTTTTGGATGAGGACCACCCCACGTTATGCGGGTGTCACATCCCACCACCCTGGTCTGTTATTGGTGTGGTTTGTGACTGTTTTTGTTGTTTTTCAGCCTTTCCCACGCTTGCATTATGCTGAAAAATCGCCAGGAATTTATGTACTTATGCAATTTGTACTTGTGTAATTTATTTATTTTGTTTAATTTTGCTACACTCTGTACTTCTATCATTCAAACTTGATTTGAAACCTTTCGTGACTGCAGGAATTAGTCTTTGGTTCTTTCGGTAAAGTCACGTAGAAGAAAAATCAATTAAATAATAGACTACGACATTTCGATTGCAACACAAGCAATCGTCATCAGGTAGAAAGCAAACCTATTAAACTTAGACATACAATGCAATACGGCTAACACAACAGTCAACACCCTACCTGGTTGATTACGTTCTTCCAAAGATTGCTAAATTTGAGAGAGAGACAAAACACAGACACGGGGACACATAGGCAGACACACACAAGCAGAGAGAGACAACACAGAGACACGTGTTGCAATCGAAACGTCGTATTCTATTATTTAATTTGTTTTCTACGTGACTTTATCGATAGAACCAAAGAGTAATTCTATCGTTCATTATATATATCGGTTGTTGTAACTTTCTGACAAGCCCCTCCTGGGCATTCGTGAAAAAGAGCCTCATAACTCATCGGATTCCTCCAGGATCAAAACACAAAACTTCCTATTCTGATGCGTCGAAGTCAGGGAGCATTGAAGTACAGTACAGCTATGGATTTGGACCCGACTCGGTCACGCAAAGTGCCACAAATTTACCGCAAATAATAAAAGCCACCACCCCCCACGGGGCACGCCACGTATCGCAAAAGCAGTCTGCCGCCTGTCTCCTCCTGTATTGTGGTCACTCTTACAGGATGAACCCTGCCAAGATCTGACATCTGATTCATTGGGTGTAAACACCCCAGGAGACCACGCACACCGCTGGCCATCAGGCGAGCCTATGGAACCCCCCCCACCTCTCTCACGCTCGCTAAACCAGGTGCGAGAGACGTGGACGAGTCTGTAGGCCAGTGTTCTTCAATACTCTCTGGTTCTATTGGGTAAAGTCACGTAGGTAAAAAAAATGTTATTTTATTTTTTACCTACGTGACTTTACCCAATAGAACCAGAGAGTATGGATCCTTGCAGTCACGAAAGCTTTAAATCCAGTGTTCTTCAACTTTCAGACGGTGCGGGCACTTTCGCCGATAAGACATCATCAGTGCTGAGGGTCGCCACACCATGTGAAACCATTGTGGGTTTGACAGCAGCGCGATGATGATTATGATGACGATTGGTGGTGGTGGGGGTGGTGGGTGTTTTCGCCATTTGTGTATTGTCGGTGGCCTCCTCCAAATGTCCCGCGGGCCTTGCGATGAAGACACCTGCTGTGGATGCCCCTACCTGCTGCCCGTGCCCACCAGGTACGTGTTGGTCCCCTGCAGAGTCATGGGCCCCGGGTTACAGCCCAGCACCCGGAACACCCGTGAAGACAGCTGCTCGAGCTTGGGGATAACCGTGGCCATCGCTGAAGACTGTTCAGCAGCAGCAGCAACAACAGCAGCAGCAACAGCAATAACAGCAGCAACAGCAACAACAGCAGCAGCAATAACAACAGCAACAGCAGTAGTAACAGCAGCAGCAGTAACAGCAGCAACAACAGCAGCAGTAGTAGTAACAGCAGCAGCAGTAACAGCAGCAACAGCAACAACAGCAGCAACAACAGCAGCAGTAACAGCAACAACAGTAACAGCAACAACAGTAACAACAACAACAGCAGCCGCCGCCGGCGCGTCACGGGCGATGAAGACGACCGCAACGGCTGCGTCTCATCCAGATGATTGACGTGACGTCATCGCGCACGAGCGTGTTCCCAATCGAGCGTGAAACGGACGTGCGACGTGACATCATCGCGCACGAGCGTTTTTCGACGGTTCAGGGACGTGAGCAGTTACGTCATCACGCACGAGCGTTTTCTTGTCCGGTGTGAAGGGGGCGTGAGCAGTGGCGTCATCGCGCACGAGCGTTTTCCGAGGTTAAGATACGTGAGCAGTGACGCCATCACGTTCAACCGTTTTCCGATAGCGTGAGACGCACGGAGTGACGTCATCGCCTACGGACATTTTCTTATAGGCGTGAAGGCGTGGGGAGTGACGACATAACGCAACGCCCCGCCACTTACGGTGATGACGCAACCCCCCCCACCCCCTTCGAAACCGTCCGAATATTTTGAGGGCTCGGGCCCTGCGAGGCTCTCCGCCGATGTCATCCGCGCACGTTCGCTTGATAGAAATGACGTCATCGCACGATGACTCTTGACCTACCGCGACGCGATGACATCATTGCGCGTCGCGCGAGCTGCGTCCGACGCGATTACGTCATCATCGCTATTGGTTTGACGGTGACGTCACTATGTAAGTGCAGCACTGCCGTTTAAATGCCCGGGTATGTTGCGACGCCGCAAGCGACCATTGGTAGAAGCGTTTCGTTTTCCATTGTAGGTTTGCGTCCCTTGACGGCTCTCAGTATCCACAGACGGGTCACTCTTCGCACCTTCCCCCGTCATCGTCGTCGTCATCAGCAACAGCCATGAGCTATCCACTGCTGGATGAACCGAAGGCCTCGATCCATCATCTCTCACGGCCACGCGCTGCGTCACGATCCGTCCGGCGAGCGCACGGCACGAGCTCATTCCATCGCTCCGTCTCCGCGGTTGTGCGTCCTCTCGGGCACTGCGGTGGCTCGGAGATGTTAACTACCTCGCCTGGTGTACAGGAGGTCGTGGGTTCCATCCCGACCCTGATGAGATGTTAACTACCTCGCCTGGTATACAGGAGGTCGTGGGTTCGATCCCGACCCTGCAGAGATGTTAACTCCCTCGCCTGGTATGCAGGAGGTCGTGGGTTCGACCCCGACCCTGCAGAGATGTTAACTCTCGCCTGGTATACAGGAGGTTGTGGGTTCGACCCCGACCCTGATGAGATGTTAACTACCTCGCCTGGTATACAGGAGTTCGTGGGTTCGATCCCGACCCTGATGAGATGTTAACTACCTCGCCTGGTATACAGGAGGTTGTGGGTTCGACCCCGACCCTGATGAGATGTTAACTACCTCGCCTGGTATACAGGAGTTCGTGGATTCGATCCCGACCCTGATGAGATGTTAACTACCTCGCCTGGTATGCAGGAGTTCGTGGGTTCCATCCCGACCATGATGAGATGTTAACTACCTCGCCTGGTATACAGGAGGGCGTGGGTTCGATCCCGACCCTGATGAGATGTTAACTACCTCGCCTGGTATACAGGAGGTCGTGGGTTCGATACCGACCCTGATGAGATGTTAACTACCTCGCCTGGTATACAGGAGGTCGTGGGTTCGATGCCGACCCTGATGTTAACTACCTCGCCTGGTATACAGGAGGTCGTGGGTTCGACCCCGACCCTGATGAGATGTTAACTACCTCGCCTGGTATACAGGAGGTCGTGGGTTCGATCCCGACCCTGATGAGATGTTAACTACCTCGCCTGGTGTTGTATATATAGGTGTTATGAAAATTGATGAAAATAATAAAAATTAAATGAAATTTGAAATTTGCATAATTTATCGAAATTATGTTAATTGGTGTAATTATGTGCATAAATTATGCTGATTCGAGAGGTAATCGTATTAATTTATGCGAGTGGGCGTGGTTATGATAATGCGGGTCGTTATGGATTATGTGGTCCAGCCTCGGTGACGAGGTTTGGTTATTAATTGGAACAACGCAATTGATCGTATGCAGTTCTGTCGGTGTTGTGAGCGTGAATGAGAGAGAGTCGATTCGACTCTGCTCTTTAATTCCGTATTATCGATAAGGATACGATTACTCTCGATTTAACATTATGAAATATGTGTGTTATGGATTATGTGTGGTGATAGTGTGCTTATGATAGGTCCCCAGGATTCAGATCTCATACGCAGAACAAAATTACGCAGAATTCCAGGAAGAATCACACACAAACCTTCTGCTTTAATCAATTTTCTTTTCTAGCTAACTTTAATTTTTGGATAATATGAAAACTCAATCTCGGGATTTTGGAATTTCAACACAGCGTTAACCTGATACCATCACGATTGCGTTGTTTCACTTCGATAGCGGCACCTGTGGTTAATTCCCGACGCGTAACGCAATCAATCGGTTGTTGAGAGAGATTAAACATGCATAACTATTCTATCAAACCTTAACTCTATTATATGCAAATTCGTATACTTGAATTATTACACAACACGGCACTCGGTCTTTGATTCGTATCCAATCCTTAACACATTCTGATATGCGAAATTATTATGCTTGAAATCGTGTCAGCACAGTACCACATCCATTCATAGACCTTCAAGTCAATTCTTATCACGTTGTTAACAGTAGGACGATTGGTTATTATGCAACTCAATGACAGCAGTTTCGCTCCACTGCTGGCTAAGCTGCTGCACGCTCTTGCTTGGCGTTGCTGGCCGCGCTCTTTCTCCTTGAAGATGCGCGAACGCGGCCGTGCTGGTTCGCTGACAGCAGTTTCTCTCCACTGCTGTATGATTCACTTTTGTTGATACATCGCGACTCAGCGATCCTCGCTACTCAGCGAGGCTCGGAGCCAGCCGCTCCATGCGACTGCTCGTCCTGTGGACGTCTTGACTCGCTGATCTGTCTTGCCTGACTTCACTTGACTGACTTAACTGAACTTTTTGAAAATGCGGCTGACCGTTATATTTAAAGACAATTCTCTCCGCGCAGTGGAAAAGGGGGGGGTGTGGTCTGTGTGTGTGTGTGTGCGTTCGTGTGTGTGTTGTGTCCTGGTTCTGTTCGGGTCTTCCTCAAGCCATAAACCATCAAGGAAACAGACGCTTCGATTAATCTCGAAGGCGTCTGTCTGTCGACGCTGTTCATCCAGAGAGAGGGGCGGGTTCCCCCCCCCCCCCCCTTTTTCGTACACGTTTCCGACGCACAAAGAAATGGTTAAGATTTTTAAAGTTTAACATTTCACATCACAGTTGGTATTGTACCGTACCCATATATGATTCTGCGTGTGGTTCGGGGTATTTGATTTTGTTTCCAAGTGAAGATGCTCTTCCGAGCGTATGCATTTTATCACGTGCTGCGGGGAGAGACAAAGGTGGCCGGGATCTTCCCATCTCTCTATACTTTGTGTTAACGTCGCTCAAATATCACTTCGACTCCATATTCAACCAGCCTGATCCACCCCGTTACCTTGGCTCCTACTCAGTTTATTAATTTTCGTCATTCTGTGTGTCTTATCACGTATAAATGTATGGCGGTTTATTTAACTTAAAGCTCGCTCGCTCTTTTGCTGCCCGTGTGCAGGGTGGGGTGGGGCCACTATTAAGTCCCGTGTGTGGCAGATGGTTCCTGCGATAACGATCTGTTTGCCCTGGCGTGAAATTCCTCTCTCACGCTCTGCGGGAGAGACAAAGGTGGTCGGGAGTACCTATCTCTTTATACTTTCGACTTTATATTTCTCAAATACCATTTGGTCCCATGTTCGCCAAGACTCGTGTTTGTAACTACGTCCTCCCGACACCCCTCTCGGTTTACCGAGGTTCGCATTGTTATGATGGAATTATTAAAAAGAAAAATAATTTTCATCCTGAATTTAAGAGGTCCGTTTCATGATTGTTGGAATCCATATCCCTTGGTTCTGTAAGGTTCTATAATGGAATGTCGTGTAAGGTGAACAGGTTATTCTTAATTTTATGTGTGACTGATGTGTAGCCACTTCTTTAACTTAAATACGTGTTCGCTGGCTGTTGTGTGTTTTCTCATTAACCCGTCTGGCTGGCTCCAGATGGCCCCTTGTGATAAGGTGTGGTTCCTGCTTCTCCGCGCTGCGAGAGAGACAAAGGTGGTCGGGGTTGCTTGGGATATTGTTTAAACTCTTTCGCAAGATTGCCCGATGTCTCATTCCTTCTCGAAAACCTTTGATGTGACTCTATTTTGTCTCCAAGCTTTGTTTTAACAGTAAACGTATTAAAGGTGAAAATCATTTGATAGCGAATTAATTATTGGATAATAATTCACTGATGTATCTGGTGGCCTAGTCTTAATTTGAGTGAGCGCAAGGACCGCTAACTTTAGCTTATTCTTGTTATTGCATTTTAAATTTGAACCGTTGTTTTAATGACAAGGGAAAAAATATATGGTTTAACCCGTGGGCATCCTCGTTTCTGGCTTGCGGAGGGCTTCCCTCTGCGTGACCTCCCTTAGAGCACATCAAACTCTTGTTCATCTGGAGATCTTCGCAGATAGCTGCTAACATCCTCGCCTCGAGAGTTTGTATTATTTATTTATTTATTAATGGGCTGTTTGTGATCAACATCTGGTTTTTCGTGTGCCTGGCTTACGGGTTTTATTGATTAATTTTTTTTGTTTGTTTAAAAAAATATATGATATATATAACGGCAAATATTATTGTTAATATCAATTTTGGAAAAGGCTCATATACAACACTGGTATACACGAGGTCATGGGTTCGACCCCGACCCTGATGAGATGTTAATTACCTCGCCTGGTATGCAGGAGGTCGTGGGTTCGATCCCGACCCTGAAGAGATGTTAACTACCTCGCCTGGTATACAGGAGGTCGTTGGTTCGATCCCGACCCTGATGAGATGTTAACTACCTCGCCTGGTATGCAGGAGGTCGTGGGTTCGATGCCGACCCTGATGAGATGTTAACTCCCTCGCCTGGTATGCAGGAGGTCGTGGGTTCGATGCCGACCCTGATGAGATGTTAACTCCCTCGCCTGGTATACAGGAGGTCGTGGGTTCGATGCCGACCCTGATAAGATGTTAACTACCTCGCCTGGTATACAGGAGATCGTGGGTTCCATCCCGACCCTGATGAGATGTTAACTACCTCGCCTGGTATACAGGAGGTCATGGGTTCGATCCCGACCCTGATGAGATGTTAACTACCTCGCCTGATGTACAGGAGGTCGTGGGTTCCATCCCGACCCTGATGAGATGTTAACTACCTCGCCTGGTATACAGGAGGTCGTGGGTTCGATCCCGACCCTGATGAGATGTTAATTACCTCGCCTGGTATGCAGGAGGTCGTGGGTTCGATCCCGACCCTGATGAGATGTTAACTACCTCGCCTGGTATACAGGAGGTCGTTGGTTCGATCCCGACCCTGATGAGATGTTAACTACCTCGCCTGGTATGCAGGAGGTCGTGGGTTCGATGCCGACCCTGATGAGATGTTAACTCCCTCGCCTGGTAAACAGGAGGTCGTGGGTTCGATGCCGACCCTGATAAGATGTTAACTACCTCGCCTGGTATACAGGAGGTCGTGGGTTCGATCCCGACCCTGATGAGATGTTAACTACCTCGCCTGGTATACAGGAGATCATGGGTTCGATCCCGACCCTGATGAGATGTTAACTACCTCGCCTGGTATACAGGAGGTCGTGGGTTCCATCCCGACCCTGATGAGATGTTAACTACCTCGCCTGGTATACAGGAGGTCGTGGGTTCGATCCCGACCCTGATGAGATGCTAATTACCTCGCCTGGTATGCAGGAGGTCGTGGGTTCGATCCCGACCCTGATGAGATGTTAACTACCTCGCGTGGTATACAGGAGGTCGTTGGTTCGATCCCGACCCTGATGAGATGTTAACTACCTCGCCTGGTATGCAGGAGGTCGTGGGTTCGATGCCGACCCTGATGAGATGTTAACTCCCTCGCCTGGTATACAGGAGGTCGTGGGTTCGATGCCGACCCTGATAAGATGTTAACTACCTCGCCTGGTATACAGGAGGTCGTGGGTTCCATCCCGACCCTGATGAGATGTTAACTACCTCGCCCGGTATACAGGAGGTCATGGGTTCGATGCCGACCCTGATGAGATGTTAACTACCTCTCCTGGTATACAGGAGGTTGTAGGTTCGATTCCGACCCTGATGAGATGTTAACTACATCGCCTGGTATGCAGGAGGTCGTGGGTTCGATGCCGACCCTGATAAGATGTTAACTACCTCGCCTGGTATACAGGAGGTCGTGGGTTCGATCGCGACCCTGATGAGATGTTAACTACCTCGCCTGGTATACAGGAGGTCATGGGTTCGATGCCGACCCTGATGAGATGTTAACTACCTCTCCTGGTATACAGGAGGTCGTAGGTTCGATCCCGACCCTGATGAGATGTTAACTACATCGCCTGGTATGCAGGAGGTCGTGGGTTTGATGCCGACCCGGATAAGATGTTAACTACCTCGCCTGGTATACAGGAGGTCATGGGTTCGATCCCGACCCTGATGAGATAACTTCCTCGCCTGGTATACAGGAAGTCGTTGGTTCGACCCCGACCCTGATGAGATGTTAACTACCTCGCTTGGTATACAGGAGGTCGTGGGGTCGACCCCGATCCTGATGAGATAACTACCTCGCCTGGTATGCAGGAGGTTGTGGGTTCGATCGGGACCCTGATGAGATGTTAACTACCTCGCCTGGTATACAGGAGGTCCTGGGTTCGAACCCGACCCTGATGAGATGTTAACTACCTCGCCTGGTATACAGGAGGTCGTGGGTTCGACCCTGATGAGATGTTAACTACTCGCCTGGTATACAGGAGGTCGTGGGTTCGACCCGACCCTGATGAGATGTTATCTACCTCGCCTGGTATACAGGAGGTCGTGGGTTCGACCCCATCCCTGATGAGATGTTAACTACCTCGCCTGGTATACAGGAGGCCGTGGGTTCGATTCCGACCCTGATGAGATGTTAACTACCTCGCCTGGTATGCAAGAGGTCGTGGGTTCGATCCCGACCCTGTTGTTAACTACCTCGCCTGGTATACAGGAGGTCGTGGGTTCGACCCCGACCCTGATGAGATGTTAACTACTCGCCTGGTATACAGGAGGCCGTGGGTTCGACCCCGACCCTGATGAGATGTTAACTACCTCGCCTGGTATACAGGAGGCCGTGGGTTCGATCCCGATCCTGATGTGATGTTAACTACCTCGCCTGGTATACAGGAGGTCGTGGGTTCGATCCTGACCCTGATGAGATGTCAACTACCTCGCCTGGTATACAGGAGGTAGTAGGTTCGATCCCGACCCTGATGAGATGTTAACTACCTCGCCTGGTATACAGGAGGTCGTGGGTTCGATCCCGACCCTGATGAGATGTTAACTACCTCGCCTGGTATACAGGAGGTCGTGGGTTCGATCCCAACCCAGATGAGATGTTAACTACCTCTCTTGGTATACAGGAGGTCGTGGGTTCGATCCCGACCCTGACGCCTGCTGTATATTTTGAGTTTGCGTGTCTCTCTCTCTCCCCGTGGTCGCGTGGATTTTTCTCCGGTCCCTCCGGGCTTTTCCCTCCACATTTAAAATCAACATCTCGCGGTCAGAGTATTTCGTCTGCTATACGTTTCCACGCGATAAACCACTTCGTTGAGCTATTATTCGTGGCTGGGTTACTTTAGAAAATGAACTACATAGTCTAGCTCATACTCTTTGGTTATTTTCGGTAAAGTCACGTCGGTAAAATAAATTAAGGAAAACAACTAAATTAAATCACGACGTTTCGGAGGCAACACAAGCTTCCGTCTTGAGGTGGAAACCGTCACAGCAAAATTGCTGTATCAAGTCTAGCTCAGTGGGCCTTACCTGGTCAAAGAAAAAAAGTTTTAACACGTTAAATCAATTTTGTGGCTTTATGCGATCCGATAGACCTATGAGCATAGTCATAAAACACGTTCAGTGTCGGTGGTATGGTCGTGAGGAAGGAGCCCTTAAACAACGGAAATGTAGGGGCCATGCAGGGTTTGTAGCAAGGGAGGAGACAAAATAGACAATGTTATGCATATATTTCACGAAAATTAGTAATTTAACCTCGTTAAGTGTATGCGGGAAAGCAACGCGTGCCGCCGCTACCCAATCCGATGTTGCATTTATCTTGAGCAGCGTGTTGAAGTTGTAACGTGTTCCGCCCTTCATTCATTGAAACCCATACTCTTTGGTTCTTTGGGTAAAGTCACGTAGATAGAAAATTATTAATAGATTACGACGTTTCGATTGCAACACAAGCGACCGTCTTCACCTGAAGACGGTCGCGTGACTTTACCGAAAGAACCAGTGAGTGTGGATTCCTGCAGTCACGAAAGCTTCAAATCATTAAAACCCGTTGGTTTTAATGACTCGGCAAATGTATGAAAGGGTTAATTTTCTCCATTTACTTATACAGCCCTGAGGTTTTTTTCAACGCCTTTTGCTTTCGCACCTCCGATTGGCAATGTGTGTGTGTCTACGTATGGTGCGAAAGAAGTTCCAATTTTTTTTTTAAACGACGAATATGTTGCCATGCGTATCTTTGGTGAAAGCGAGTGACCTGGCCTGACCAAAATATGTTTTCTTCACAATCTTAGCGTTATTATTATTATTACGCGTGTGTTTAACCAGGGAAGCCCCACTGAGTCGAGATTATTTTGCAGGCGGATCCTGCGAAGTGTCCGGAGTAAGGGCATCGATGTTGCTGCTGCTGCTGCCGCCGCCGTGTGTAATTCCGACTTGAGTAATTTGCAGGTAATTTTTCAGCATTGGGAGATTTAGGCCAACACCAATCGTGCTGTGCGTGTGTGTGTGTCTGTTAGCTATGTTTTTTTCATCAGTTACGTAACGCTGTGTGGAAGCTACCTGGTCTGTCGCTCTGCACTAAGCTTCAGGTCTTCTCGGCCAGTCATTCCCTCCCTTCTCTACGCTTGCGAAACGTGGACCCCCCTAATGAAGCATCTTCGCTGGTTATAAACATTTAGGCTGGCCTGCCTACGATCCATCCTGGGTTTAACCAGGCTGGATTGTGTGAGGAGCTCACAAATCCTTGAAAGATCTGGACAAGGTCCCATCGGTGAGCTTCTCCGGCAGCCAAGGCTGCGTTGGCTGGGTCATGTAGCCCGCATGCCCAGCCACCGCATGCCTAAACAGCTTTTGTTCGGCCGGATCGAGGGGGCTAAACGGGCGCGGCACGGGCTGGAGAAGAGATGGAGTGATGTGGTACTGAGTGTACTTGCCGATGACTGGTACCAGCGGTAGGTCAAGATCGGCCTCTGTGGAAGAGGCTCGTGAAGGACGCTACTGGGCAGTTGGAGATAGTCGCCCTCCAACAACAACGGAGGGCGGAGGAGCGACACTCACAACAACGAGCGGGGCGCCAGGTGGCTAAATACCACAGCAGGTTGGCACAGTAGGTGGCACAGGTGGTGCATCAGCCAGTCTTCTCAGTCATCTCAGTCAGTCGACCCGTGGCACTTGGGTCGGCCCCGTGACCTGCCAGCGGGCGTTCGACACTTTACGTGGCCTCAAGGTGCACGTGGCCTGGCACAAGCGTCGTGGTGACGTCACCGCCACTTAGTGGCGAATGGCGGTTGTTGTTGTTAGCGATGTGGGGAGCAATAGTCTAGCGGTTAGCGCGCTGTGCTATAAGCCCGGCGACCCGGGTTCGATTCCCGCTCACGGCCAACACCAGTGACGATTATCTGAACTGATCTCGGGCCTCCCCTAGGTCGACTCAGCCTCAAATGAGTACCTGGTGCGGTGTGTAAACATCGCCACTGGGGAGACAAAGGCGGTCGGGCGTGGTGCTGGCCACCCACCCCCTCGTGTGCCATTTCGGCCTTCAAAGGTGTTCGCTAACAGCACTTGCCCCTACAGTCTGTTAAGGCTACACGGGGGATCTTTGTCTTTGCGCGTCTGTTAAGCCTTGTAAATCTTTCGCTTGGTTTTTTGAGCGCTTGCGTGGCTGCATCTGCTTTCCAACGAGTCGAGTCGCACTTCCGTCAGATGCACCGATGCTCTCCGCCCACGAATGGGACGATGATGAGGATCCGTGTGTTGTTGACGGCCACCCTTGGGCCAGATTTCGTGTGAGTCGTACATATCGAGAGTGCGCACTCGTACGATACAGCTGTATAATAATAATAATCTGTTTATATTTGAACAGTACGCAAGTCTTTATGTGGTATATGTAAACATTGCAGTGATCCAGTGGTGTTATCCATTGACCTAAAAAAAATGTAGTTTTATCAAACAGAGTTCCGACTCTTGGCTGCGGCTAAACATCAGTGGCACGATTTGTTGTCGTCGTCCCCCCGCACCCCCCGATGAACACGGTTGGCTACGTGCGGTGCTAAAGAAGTTCAACGTGCCGTACCATGGACGAATGGTATCCGAACCAAGCCTGGTCCCGTTGGGCCTCCTCCCTCTCTATTGCACCCAGTCCACATTGACCGGCGTGGCGAAGCATGGTCATGCTTCAAATTACAATGACCGGCACGGCGTGGGCGAGGCATTCGTCCAGCAGTGGGATTGACGGAAGGAGATCCAATTTCTCACCGTAACAATAAAAACATTTCTAGATTTGAAGCTTTCGTGACTGCAAGGATCCATACTCTTTGGTTCTATTCGGTAAAGTCACGTGGGTAAAAAAATAATACCGAATAGAATAAAAACATTCAAACGTACACCCAGCTCCAAAGAAAAGTTGTACAGCAGCGTGACACAAGAGTTATTGATTTACATCATGTTGCATCACGTAACCGTGATACGGGGCCACGTCCTGTAAACCTCATTTCCTCCACTCGCTGACACCCAACAAAATGTGATCCAGTGGTCACGAGGTTTGAAACAAACACGGACACTGCGCACAGTGGCAACAGCCAGCCGTGGCATTGAGTGTAACGTGGCATTTTCACGTAGTTCGTATCGTTTGTATACTTTGCTTCGCTGAGAATCAACACAATCGCCTCGCTCCTAAAGAGGGCAGGCGGGTGGGGGCGATACGGACACCGAAGTGTATGTATGTATCAACATTTTATTCGTGTGCCCCTTGTTTTTGTTACGCACTAAACTACGCACCTTCTTGCGCGTGTATTCTGTAGTTTCTGATTATATTACAGTCGTCGTGATCATTGCTGCACTGCCTGCACAGCGGTGCAGACACGTGGAGTGGCCGCAGCCAGTTGTGTTGTCGCTCTCGGCTCGATCGTGTGTTAAGCACCTTGCTGAAAGACGCGAGATCGCCGAGGCAAACGTGTGTTGCACTGTGGGGCATTTTTTTGTTTCCAGAATAAGAATAGGTTTACACAGCTTTCAACGTTGTAGTTTTTAATACCGAAACAATGCCAAATATGCTTTACTTTGTGATGAAGACATAGAACATTGGGCCCTCTCCAAAATTTGGTTGACAGGTGTATCGGTAACTTAAAGCTTTCGTGACTGCAGGACGAACGCTTGTGTTGCGATCGAAACGTCGTAGTTTTTTTGTGTTGTTATTTTTCTTTGAACCTATCTACGTGACTTTACCGAAAGACCCTAGAATCTAGGTGTATCGATGTGTTGATATACTACAGATTATAGCCGGGCAGCTAAAATGCTGCAAGTTTGCACAGTGGGGGGTACAGCTGGTGGTGCAACTACCGGTCATCTCAGTCAGCCAACCCATGGCACCTGCTGGGTCTGTCCCGTGACCTCCTGGTCAGCGAGCCTTCGACACTTCACGTGGCCTCAAAGTGCACCTAGCCTGGCACAGGCGCCGTGGTGATGGCACCATCACTTCGTGGTGAATGGCGGGTATTGGTATACTACAGATAGGGGACCGTCCATAAATGACGTCACGCACCTGGGGAGGGGGGGGTCAGATATTTGTGACGATGTGTGACGAGGGGGGGTGGGGGGTTTGAGAAATGTGACGTCACATCAAAATGCGCAACTTTAAATAAATATAGACAACACGTTCTACGTAATTAAATAGACTTTTTAATAAATATTTTCTCCTACAACATCGGAGTGCAACGCCACATTAAATACGCACTACAATGGCAATAGTTTAAAGCGATTTGATGCATGTTTTATATTTGGGGGGGGGGGCAGAGCTTTGTGACGTCATATTTGAGGGGGGGGGTCTGACTTTTTGTGACGCCGTGTGACAATGGGGGGAGGGGGGGGGTCAAAAATCGTCCAAAATCACGTGACGTCATTTATGGACGACCCCTAGGCTGAAAGTGAATTTTCATGAAAGTAGAAATAATTTTGCTATTGTTGACAGTCTTTTATATTTTTCTCATAATTAATCATTTTTAAAATGTGTAATATATTTACCCTGGAAAGTAACATGCATTTATGGTGACTGTTGGATTTTAGTTATTGTTTCAGTCATAACAAACATTGCTTTTACAATTGCATTGCTCCTTTCTGTAATCACTGTAATTGACTTAAATTCTGGGTGATGGATGATTTCGTTCTGATCTTTTAGTGAACATCTTTGTTTTCATTAAAACTTCGAGTGCTCGAAAATTCAATATTTTGCTTTCAATGTCCCATCCCGCCCAGGAAGTCATTGGCTGTGCCCGCACAACGGGGTGCCACGGTGGCTAGGAGATGTTATCTACCTCGCCTGGTATGCAGGAGGTCATGGGTTCAATCCCGATCCTGACGCCTATATGTTTGGAGTTTGCATGTTCTCCCCATGGCGGTGTGGATTTTTCTCCGGGTCCTCCGGTTTTCCCACGACATTTAGAAATGTACATTGAAAGCAGTTGGCTGTTTATAAATTTCCACGTGATAAGCCACTTCGTTGAGCTATCATTTGTGGCAAGGTTGCTTCTCAAAAAAAGCTATATAGCCCAGCAGGCCTTATCTGGTAAAACAAGAAATAGTAATAAAATTAATGGTCCCTCTTGGCCATTGGACATTGCCGCCCTTGACTACCCACACCTCCACGCACAAAGAAAAAATTAAAGTGGAGCCACGCAATTGCTTGGTCACGCCACTGCCGTTGGAAGGGCTTCGACTTCAGGAAACTCAGGGGATCTCTCTTGAAGGTATTTGGCCTACCCTTCTATGGTGACCAGATGTCTTCAAAGAGATGGGAGTACACACATTTTATCCCACTGCATGCAATGTGCTTATCGACTAACTGGTGGACCCCGTTTATACTGTTTAACACATAGGCTTTCATATTCTTGGTTCTTTCGGTAAAGTCACGTAGAAGGGAAATAATAAAAATAAAGCAATACAATTCTCACGACGTTAAGATTGCAACACAAGCAATCGTCATCAGGTGTGAAAACCACAGTAAGATAAAACAAATATTAATTATTATTTTTTTAAATTCCCTTCTACGTGACTTTACCAAAAGAACCAAGAATATGAATCCCTGCAGTCACGAAAGCTTTAAATCGAAACATAGGCTTTCGTGGCCAATATCCATAATATATGTTTATTGAGTTAGATCGCATAAATATAAATGTGTCGTTAAACCCGCCACCACCCGACACAGCCAATTAGTGAACAAAACGTCAATTCATTACTAGTTCAGCACACCGGTGTGTTGGAGAGTAAATCCACAACATTTACAATTCGAGTACAACGTTTCGCCAGTAATTACAACCAGCATCATCAGGCGAAAGCCAGAGTTTATACTGCTGGGTCGACAGACATGGGCTTAAAAAAAAATGCGCCAAATTAAATTGCCGCACCAGGAGATGAAATCGGCGACCTCTGTCTGTATTGCATGGGCAGTTTGATAACCACTGCACCATGGCGACATTGCACGTACCATCAATATGAGCAAATAATTGCGGTGAGTGCATTAACATCTTTACGTGCTGCCTGTTTTTCAAAAGGGGAATGGCTGATGGTGAAGACGACCTTGATTTACACGGTGATGCAACCAGAGCTGGCGCCTCAATCCCTAGGAAAAATGCGACTTGGAATGTGGAAAATGCGCCAGGTCATTCGAACGGGCAGCCTCGCTCCGATGGCACCAGCTCCAAAGCAGAAGAGGGGTCAGGTGACCAGAGACACAGCTTCACAAGGGCTGAGTACTTTACATTGATCTCCATCGCCAGCGTGGAGTTCACCTCCATGATGACCAACTCGGTCCTGGTCCCATTCTTTCCCGAGGAGGTACGTGCTGAAAAAGGTGGCATGTCGCATGAATATTTAAATTCACATTTTTTTCTTATTTTAGAAAAAAACTAAACTTTTTTTTTCAAAATGTGTATCAATTTTGCTCTTGGGCATTATGTCATGAGTCGAATAATCCGAGTCCATACATTTCTTAGAGCAGTATGCCGCGCTCTGTCGGAGAATATCTGCGGAAGATGAAATGTCCTTCAAGTTGCCTTTTACCATTTACACAGAAGTCACACTTTTCCATACACTCTGCTATGAGATTGTTGAATGACAGACAAACGATCTTTTTTATTCTCAGAACCTGAATTTAGCCAGTGCAATATCACATTTAATGTGACTGCATTGCTATTTAGTCAATTTGAGTCGAAAACCAACTTGATTTTGGTGGCGATTTTTGTGCAATCAATTGTGACCTGGTTCAGACTACCTACTTACTACACTTGAGAATCAAACCCAGAATCTCAGGGGTGCAAACTCAGTGCTCTGACCTCTGAGCGACCCAACCACATTGCTTTTACTTTTTTTCATCAGTTTAAATTGTGATTCAGAACTGCAGTATTGCACTAACTTGTATCAGATGCTGGCCATGGAAGATTCAATCACAGATATGCTGATGAAATTATTTCAATAAGCCCATTATCAACATTAAACCACACACCTCTTACATGGCCTGTGAAGAACAAAAATTCAAAACGACATTCATAATTTCGATTTAAAGCTTTCGTGACTGCAAGGATTCATCTTCTTTGGTTCTTTCGGTAAAGTCACGTAGAATGAGAATAAAATAATAAATTGATAAAATAAAATAACACAATCAAATTCTCAGGACAGCGCTGTCCTCCAGACAGTCTCGTCCCTTCACCTGATGAAGGCCGCTTGTGTTGTGGCCGAAACGTCGTGAGAATATTTTGTTATTTTATTTTATCAATTTATTATTTTATTCTCATTCTACGTGACTTTACCGAAAGAACCAAAGAAGACATTCATAATCCTTAAAGCTGAAATCTGAATTAGGTGACAGAAAATAGTTATTTGAGCAGTCATTTGTGGCTGGACTAAGACCATCAATTTGCTAAAACTGAGAACCCTGTGTAATCAAGGGTGAGTAAAACCCATATTCAAACCCAGGATCTCCGTGGTCTTAGCTCAGTTGTGCAACATAGTCTTATCCTCCTAAGCCGTTTGACAACCTCCCCGTTAGCCATAATCAACACAGAATAACTTTTAGAGCAGGAGAGGCCGGATATTCTGCAGTAAAAGTTTAACGCTTCAAGAGGAATGCGGCATGCATTTACACCCAGCAGTAAACATTTTAGAATATTGGGGAACATTTACCCAGCCTCTAGAAAATTGTCATTCTGTTGCATTTAATAAACATATACCACAGAACATTATTCTATTTGCTTGCTCGATATAGTGTATATATGACGTAACAGTATGCAAGTGAATTTAATCTTCATACAATTATACGCTACAAGCGGGTTATCGGTGGTGATGCATGAGGTTATTTTATCACAAGGATTATGACCATAGCTACAATATCAAGCTGATGTGTGGCTCTATCTTCCTAGGCTGCTAAGAAAGGAGCCAGCGACACGGTGGTGGGACTGATATTTGGAGTGTTTTCCCTCGTTCAGCTACTCTTTTCTCTTCTATTGGGAAAATACGTGAGTGATCGTTATTTGCCGCAGTGTTTTAAATTCCATAATTAAAATGTGTAAATGTTTGAACTGTTTGAATTTGTCTTTAACCTGTGTGTGTTCCCTAATCAATATGCTCCCCTTTTGCTCATTGTAATTCTAAGCATGCATTTAATGATTTACACACTTTTCAATGGAACAAGACTAACAATTACAGGTCAGGCCATATAAAAAAAAACTTGATTTGGTGATGCTGTGGACAGAGAATGTCGATATATTTAACATACATATAATCTGTTGACAGATGGTTAAGATTGGAGTCAAGTTCACATTTCTCTCAGGACTGCTGGCCTCTGGCACCTGCACAATTCTGTTTGGGTGAGTTTGTTGCCCAGCCAAAGTCTATCGTGGATTTATTAGAAGTCCTCTTTGTTGTAGCTTAATGTTTCCCAATACCATTTGTCTATTGAGTTTTGTCAGCAAGATTTAGCCTCAAATGGACACATGGAGTCACCTACAATGTCATTCCCTTAAAGTACAAGTTAGAGCTTTTGTGTTTAACATTTACATTTTCCTATGAAGCTGGGTCCCCTCCATTGACGTAGCTATCGAGTGTTTTATTTTTTACCTACGTGACTTTACCGAATTGAACCAAAGAGTATGGATCCTTGCAGTCAAGAAAGCTTCAAATCTAGAATTGAGTGTGCAGGGGTTTCAACTTGCACCAGGCACCAGGCATCATGGGCATTGGAGACCCAGACCCCTGGCTATGGAGAGGAGGGGAAATTGGACAGGGAGCCTCTGGTCCCGTTGTCATGTATGTATGTATGTTGAACTTCGTTTGCACCGTACATAGCCAACTTTGCTAATCGGAGGTGCAGGGGAAGAACAACAAACTAAACACAAACAGCAGTTCATAACGAATCCTCCGCGTCTGCGTGCAGACTCCTAGACGAGGCCCCGAGCGGCAAGATTTTCATCGCCCTTTGCTTTCTGCTGCACGGCGTGGACGCCGTGGGCTGTGCTGCCTCCATGACTGCGTCCTTCACCATCTTGATGTCGATGTTCCCGCACAACATCTCCACGACCATCGTGAGCCCTAAATAATCCCGCTTCCCATTTCAGATTCAACCTTGTCGGTTTAGTGTTCACAAGGGACAAACCTCAAGTGTTGTAATGAATGTTGAAGATGGCTATTAATATTAAACAAATTACACACGTTTCTTTTGGCGTTATTGTGCAAGTGTCGACATTTTTTCATCTTTTACGAAGCTATATTCACAATTATGCTGAGATCGGGCCCATTCCAGGTGATTTGGTCAGAGAGGGTTAAGCATGCGGATCACATGCATGTGTTCAGCTCTGTGGTCAATGCCGTAGCCCCGTGTGTAGAAGCCCCACCGGTGTCCCCTTCGGCAGGGCTTCCTGGAGCTCCTCACAGGGCTGGGTTTGGTGATGGGTCCTCCTCTGGGCGGGTTCCTGTATGAGGCGTGGGGCTACAGGATGACTCTCATAATCGTCGGCGTCTTCATGTTGCTCACCATCCCCGTCGTCCTCGCTGCTCTGCCTCCGCAAGGTGCCTGATCGCGTCTCCTCTCGTCAGATCGCGATCTCACTTTTCAAAGAAATATTGTATTGCTATGTTTCTCCAAAGCGCCGCACTGCGGTACTTTCCAATTGCGGAACTGGCGCCTTGTAATGAGTGCGCGTCTCTCTCTCGCAGTGCTGGTGGGGAGCAGTGGTTCGTTCGTACGGCTCTTGTCACTGCCCTCTGTGATTGTCGTGGCATTGCTCATCTGCTGCGTGGACTCATCGATGGGTTTTTTCGATCCCAACATCTCACTGTTCCTCTTTGAGCAGGTGAGAACACGCCACTTCAACTCCTGAACATTTGGTGGAATGTAGTCCACCTAGATCAGGAGTTTGTTTTACTCGTCTCAATGTCCATTTAAAAAAATGTTACTTCATCACTGGATGAAGGCCTACCCATGCCACGCGGGTTATGGGAGCTATTTGACAGCACTTGACTATGTTTGGTCAGCACGGGTTGATGGCAGGGAGCATGGACGTGAAAGTATGACAATAAAGTACAAAGGTTGATGTTGCTCTCCTGGCCCTCTGCTGCCCACCGCGTAGTCCCTGAGCAGCCTATGACAACCAAGGTGGCTAGCCACGAGCCAGTCTCAAACCGGTTTAGCTTCTGAGATTTGAGGAGGTCAGGCAAATTCTGGGTGATTTGATGATTTGGTCATAGGCTTGTTTTTATCTTCAAATTTGAAACAAATAAAGCATCTGTGAACTAATTGTCCTTCAGCATCCAAGTATTCCGATTCTTCTAGTAGCAAACCCTGCAGAGGTTTCACCTTTTCTGAGTATATTCAGCAGAGTGTGGTTCATTGCGCAAATACCGCTCTTCAACTTCAAGTTATACGTGACAATAATGCATGAGCACTCAGTCCCGAAACATTTCTTGCAGAAACTTGCACTCAAAATCAATGTGTGCTGCCTTTGTGATTTATCGGTAATTAAATGGTAAGTGAATGAATTGGGGTATGTTTAATAAGAAACGAGAAATGTGTGTAGTGAAATGTGATTAAATGGCAATTAGTTCATGCTGGTGCGGCTGAGAACCTCTATCCAGTGATATCATACTAGACATCTGTGAAAAAGAACTTAATAGCTCATCGGATTTCTCCAGTCTAAAATTGTGATTTGGTATTTAATTACGTCTCTAGAAGTGCTCATTGATGTTCCCTTTCACAGTTTAATCTGAGCTCCGGGAAGATTGGACTCGTCTTCATGAGCCTGTGCATCTCGTACTCTGTGAGCTGTCCTGTTGTGGGCTACGTCAGCGACCACAGACCTGTGAGCAGGCACAGCGAGCCACTCCACTCGGCTCTTCCGGACAGTTCTTCTACAGAGACAATTTTGCGCGCACAGCCACTGTCAATCATTCACCATCGCGACACTCACGTGCGGTCTCAAACCTGCCTTGCGTAAATGACTCGGTGATATCGGAAGCAAGACGGCTGCAGAAGTGCATCTGAAAGCACACGATGCAGTGACCGTCTTTAGCATAGTAAAGTCCAAATTTAAGATGGCTGGGTGGCTTAAAAAATGCTCTTGAGAGTGCTTTGGGCGAGCACTGCTCAGAGCCTGGTTAAAGCGCTTATCTGCTGTGATGTGGAGTTTGACTGTCGACCCCAAGCTTATATTGCTTCTTTTGGGGCACTGTACACTAAAAAAGTTAAGCACAATTCAAAGCATTATTCAGACTCAAGTGAGGTGACCCTGCGCTGTCAGACATCATGTTGATGCAGAATTGCAGTTATTTTGGATCACATTTATCATTGGAAAAAGTATTCCTTTAATCATGGGGTGATCACAAGTGTCCCTGGGAGCAAACAAGTGTTGGGCATTGCCCATCTTAGATGCCAGCTCTGGGTCAATAATGAAATTTCAACATTTTTAATGACAGGAGTCAGTAGGACAACCACCGTTGACTTCCCAAAATTAGTACTTATTTTATCAACCACCACAGGCGAATGATGATGAGCTGAGTTGATCCCTGACCGGGATGGGAATGCACAAGCGTTTGGTCGTGTGAGCCTATTTGTGTTACCCTTCCTTTCGGCTTTGTTGTTTATTTTGCAGCAATGGATGAGATGCATGATGCTGGCTGGAGCTTTTGTATCCGGTATCTGCTTCTGCTTGTTGGGCCCTGTTCCCATCCTGCGCATCCACACGTGAGGATGACGTCAGTCACTAAACCACCTGCACATGACACCTGATAGTGGAAAGACAAAAACTGATTTTTGTCTGGTTTCCAAATTGAATGTGGGCTGCTGTTGCTTGAGCTACCCAAACAGCTGTGGAGCTGTTGTGATCATGATGTTGTCGTGCTCTTCACTTGTTTCACGGTGGTGGTACCATTATGCTATTGCAATGTAGCTCTTGTGGTTTTCCTGTATTCTTGCTATGATGCTGTTGCATTGTTGCCTTGGTGCTTTTATGTTGTGTTGTGATTACCATTATGGTGATGTTGTGGTGGCATCAGTCAGCTGTGGCTCGTGGTGGTGGTGCTGGCTGTGCTGGGTGTTTCCATCGCCACAGCCATCGTCCCCACATTTTCGGAGATCCTCCTCATGGCCACGTAAGTCCCATTTGTTTGCCATCCGGGCACGGTGCAGCCCAGTGGGTTTGAGTTTCACAAATCTCTATGTGGTCCACTAACCCTGTGGTTCATCTTCTTGGTTCTTTCGGTAAATGTCACGTAGCATGGAAATAAAATAATAAAACGTAATAAAATAAAATTCTCACGACGTTTCGGCCACAACACAAGTAGCCTTTTTCAGGTGAAGAAACAGGTCTGTCCAGAAGACAGCGCTTGAGTGAACACTGCCAAGCATGGACCGCGTCTTTTAAGCTGTGTGGGCGGAGTTAACATATTAATTGGAATATTAACCAGCACCACCACCGGAGCGGAGGAGGGTGGTGACCGAGCAAACAGAGAAAGAAAGAAAGGGAGCAGCTAAGGTGCGCTGCTCTGTCCTGTGTTGCGTTATAACTATGCTATAAACTGGACTACTGTACAATACAATATTATACCTTCCAATCTAAACTACATGGTATAATATCATATCCATAGACAAATTCCACCTTTGAATTATACAATGCGTTACTTTACACTACCCTATACTTTAGACTATGAAATATTAGACTTGTAACATTACACTATGTCTTATTCTATGAACCCAACTATATACCACACTGCTGTATATTCACTATACAATTACGATATTATATATTGCCTTATGAATTATGTTAAACATTACAATGTTATACTCTTTATTGTTATACCACATGCTATAAACCATACCATTAACCGTGGTGTGAGAGGTATTAAGAGGCATTGCCAGCGAATGGACTGCGGTCTGAAGGTCATCGTAAAATACAATCAATTAAGAACCGAAATGGTTTATAACATCTTTCCAATGGTTACTAAGCCAGACTCCATCTTCTTGGTTGAAATTGTCTCTGTGTTTGTATATGTGGATGGCCTCATGGACGAATCTCTCATGGTAGCCGGATGGCTTGCAGAGAACCTTCGTCTTGGAGAAGTAAATGTCATGTGAGCCCACTGAATTATAACAGTGATCTGCCACAGCTGAGGAGTTCGTCCTACCGTGTTTCAAGTCTGCTTTATGTTCACGGATGCCGTCCAAGATATGTCGTTTGGTTTCTCCAACGTAGTTGCTACCACAGAGGCAACTTAGTTTGTAAACGCCCGGGTACTGTATGTCTGGAACCACATCTTTTACAGACGGAACCAGATCACGGATTTTATGTACTGTGTTGAATCGGACCTGGATCGTGTGTTTATTCAGGATTTTGGAGATCTTTTTTGTGACCCCCGCAATGTAGGGTAATGTGATGGTTTTGAATGGCTCCTCAAGAGGATCCTTCTTCATGACTGGAGTGATGGCTTTGCGGATTGTGTAGTCGGAGTAACCATTAGCCTTTAGAGCTTGGTGTATGTGCTTGAGTTCACTGGCAATGTGTTCCTGGTCGGAAATGCATTGGGCTCTATGGTATAGAGTCTTGATGAGGGAGTTCTTCTGGGATGGATGGTGGTGGGAATCCGGTTTTAAGTAAGCATCCGTATGGGTATCTTTCCTGTAGACAGAGTGGCTCATTGAACCATCAGGTCTCCTTTTAATTAAGACATCCAAAAAGGGTAGCTTGCCATCTTTTTCGACCTCCATGGTAAATCTGATGGCTGGGTGTATGAAATTGATGTGGTCGAGGAATTGGTCTAGAGCAGGCCGGCCATGTGGCCAGATGACAAAAGTGTCATCCACGTACCTCTTCCATGAGGTCGGGCGTAGAGTGGCAGTCTGGATGGCGTCAGTTTCAAATTTTTCCATGAACACGTTGGCTACAACCGGAGATAGGGGGGAGCCCATTGGGGTGCCCTCAGTCTGTTTGTAGAAAGTTCCATTCCAGGTGAAGTATGTGTTGGTTAAGCAATGTCTCACCAGGGGGGGTACATCAGTATGCAGTCCTTGATGAACCAAGTCTTCAATGATTGCGATGGTGTCAGGTACCGGAACTTTGGTGAATAAGGAAACCACATCAAAACTGACAAGCAGGTCATCTGGGGACAGGGAAATACCCTTGATTGTCGATACCAGGTGAGTAGAGTTTAGTACCGCAGAGGTGGTTTGTCCAGTGAAAGGTCGCAGGATATCAGACAGAAAACGAGCCAGTTTGTCGGTGGGGGAGTTGATAGTGGAGACGATGGGACGAAGGGGTGTATCTTCTTTGTGTGTCTTTGGAAGGCCATTTAATCTTCGTGGTCTGGCCGCAGAAGGTTTCAACGAGAACTGTTTGGTTTGATCAATTAATGCTGTTGAATCAGAAATGATTTTGTTGGTTTTAGTAACCAGGCTGTTCGTGGGGTCTCTTCTTATTTTTGTATAGCTACATCGTTGAGTAGTTCCTGAATTTTGTTGTTATATTCTATTTTGTCCATGATGACAGTGGCATTGCCCTTGTCGGCTGAGAGGATGACAATGTCATCTCTCTTTTTTATTGAGATAATTCAAAGCACTCATCTTTGCTGATGTTGCAGGGTGGCATCTTAGCGTTTTTGAGAGTTGCAGCGATTTCAGATCTTGCTCCGTCTGCAGCGATGTGACCCTGGCCCTTGAGTGCAACGCCAACATGAGCAATGATATCATTAACTGGTATGTGTCTCGGTGTGACTGCAAAGTTTAGCCCTTTAGCTAAAACGGCTTTCAGACCATCAGAAATAGAACTGTTACTACGATTAATTGCGACTTTGTTAACGTCTAGCTTTTCGGTGTGTGGGTCCGATTTCTTGTTGGAAAGGCAGTTGAATTTGGAAATCAAATTGTCCTCACATCAATTCCATACACCCAGCCATCAGATTTACCATGGAGGTCGAAAAAGATGGCAAACTACCCTTTTTGGATGTCTTAATTAAAAGGAGACCTGATGGTTCAATGAGCCACTCTGTCTACAGGAAAGATACCCATACGGATGCTTACTTAAAACCGGATTCCCACCACCATCCATCCCAGAAGAACTCCCTCATCAAGACTCTATACCATAGAGCCCAATGCATTTCCGACCAGGAACACATTGCCAGTGAACTCAAGCACGTACACCAAGCTCTCAAGGCTAATGGTTACTCCGACTACACAATCCGCAAAGCCTTCACTCCAGTCATGAAGAAGGATCCTCTTGAGGAGCCATTCAAAGCCATCACCTTACCCTACATTGCGGGGGTCACAAAAAGATCTCCAAAATCCTGATAAAAACATAAGATCCAGGTCCAATTCAACATAGTACATAAAATCCGTGATCTGGTTCCGTCTGTAAAAGATGTGGTTCCAGACATACAGTACCCTTGCGTTTACCAACTAAGTTGCCTCTGTGGTAGCAGCTACATTGGAGAAACCAAACGACATCTCTCAGACCGCATTCGTGAACACGAAGCAGACTTGAAACACGGTAGGACAAACTCCTCAGCCGTGGCAGATCACTGTTATAATTCAGTGGGCTCACATGACATTGACTTCTCCAAGACGGAGATTCTCTGCAAGCCATCCGGCTACCATGAGAGATTCGTTCATGAGGCCATCCACATATACAAACATAGACAATTTCAACCGAGAAGATGGATTTTGGCTTAGTAACCATTGGAAAGACGTTATAAATCATTTCGGTTCTTAATTGATTGTATTTTACGGTGACCTTCAGACCGCATTCCATTCGCTGCCACTGCATCTTAATACCTCTCACACCACGGTTAATGGTATGGTTTATAGCATGTGGTATAATAATAAATAGTATAACATTGTAATGTTTAACATAATTCATAAGGCAATATATAGTATCGTAATTGCATAGTGAATATACAGCAGTGTAGTATATAGTTGGGTTCATAGAATAAGACATAGTGTAATGTTACAAGTCTAATATCTTATAGTCTAAAGTATAGGGTAGTGTAAAGTAACGCATTGTATAATTCAAAGGTGGAATTTGTCTATGGATATGATATTATACCATGTAGTTTCGATTGGAAGGTATAATATTGTAATGTATAGTAGTCCAGTTTATAGCATAGTTATAATGCAACACAGGATAGAGCAGCGCACCTTAGCTGTTCTGCTTTGGTATTTTTCTGTGTGCCCAGCCCCCACCCTCCTCCGCTCCGGTGGTGGTGCTGGTTAATATTCCAATTAATATGTTAACTCCGCCCACACAGCTTAAAAGACGCGGTCCATGCTTGGCAGTGTTCACTCAAGCGCTGTCTTCTGGACAGACCAGTTCTTCACCTGAAGAAGGCTACTTGTGTTGTGGCCGAAACGTCGTGAGAATTTTATTTTATTATGTTTTATTATTATTTTATTTCCATTCTATGTGACTTTACCGAAAGAACCAAGAAGATGAATCCCTGCAGTCACGAAAGCTTTAAATCGAAATTTAACCCTGTGGTTGTACACCACTATGCTGGCGAACCTGTATATACAATTATTATACTGACAAAAAAAAGGCAATTACACTGACCGTTGTTTTACTCTCGCCGATTTTCTTGCTTTCAGTAAGAATGGCTTTGAAGAGGGGCTGGGCACGCTGGGGTTGGTGTCCGGTGTCTGCAATGGCTTGATGTCTTTCGGGTGAGTATGGCCAACATCAGAATTGGAAACATATTTCCCGTGTTAACAGGTTACACGGGGCTGCGCCAGCGTGAAGGGTAGACGTTCACTCCAGCAGGTCTTCTCAACTGGGCTGTATGGACTCGGAGGTAGTGGCATTGCTCAAGGGTTTTCATCTCGACTCTAGCGACTTGTAGGTAGTGGCATTGCTCAGGGCTTCTCAACTCGACTCTCGTGACTCGTAGGTAGTGGCATTGCTCAGGGCTTCTCAACTCGACTCTAGCGACTTGTAGGTAGTGGCATTGCTCAGGGCTTCTCATCTTGACTCTAGCGATTCGTAGGAAGTGGCATTGCTCAGGGGTTTTCATCTTGACTGTAGCAACTCGTAGGTAGTGGCATTGCTCAGGGCTTCTGAACTCGACTCTAGCGACTTGTAGGTAGTGGCATTGCTCAGGGGTTTTCCTCTCGACTCTAGAAACTTGTAGGTAGTAGCATTGCTCAGGGGTTTTCATCTCGACTCGAGCGACTTGTAGGTAGTGGCATTGCTCAGGGGTTTTCAACTCGACTCTAGCGACTTGTAGGTAGTGGCATTGCTCAGGGCTTCTCAACTCGACTCTAGCAACTCGTAGGTAGTGGCATTGCTCAGGGGTTTTCATCTCAACTCGAGTGACTCATAGGTAGTGGCATTGCTCAGGGCTTCTCAACTCAGCTCTAGCGACTTGTAGGTAGTGGCATTGCTTAGGGGTTTTCAACTTGACTCTAGCGACTTGTAGGTAGTGGCATTGCTCAGGGCTTCTCAACTCGCCTCTAGCAACTCGTAGGTAGTGGCATTGCTCAGGGGTTTTCATCTCGACTCGAGTGACTCGTAGGAAGTGGCATTGCTCAGGGCTTCTCAACTCGGCTCTAGCGACTTGTAGGTAGTGGCATTGCTCAGAGGTTTTCAACTCGACTCTAGCGACTTGTAGGTAGTGGCATTGCTCAGGGCTTCTCAACTCGACTCTAGCAACTCGTAGGTAGTGGCATTGCTCAGGGGTTTTCATCTCGACTCGAGTGACTCGTAGGAAGTGGCATTGCTCAGGGCTTCTCAACTCGACTCTAGCGACTCGTATGGCGTGGAATTCCCCTTGAGTCTGCAGGGGGTGTAACTGCACTGGGGGCCCAGGTGCCAGGCTGCATCAGAGCCCATTCATTGCCATCCATGCTTGGGTGCTGCCCACAGGGGTCCACTGGCATAATTAGGGGCCAAGGGGTCTGCTTCAGCGGCCATCACAAAGTGCGAAGAAATCCCCAAAGGAAAGTCCACTCTGCCATGCCGAACCCTCTTGAAGAAGAGTCTTGAGATTAGGTGAGGGTTCCCAGAGATAAATATTAAAGTGGATCCTTCCACTTATTATACTACCCTCACATTGTGCACGTAATAGTTAATTTTATTTAACTCAAACTCTTCCATTAGGCTGATGGTCAGAATAAAAGAGATTGCGCAAACAAGACACGAGATGGCAGAGTACAGACAGTACAAATACGACTGGTAGTACACCATCGACAGTAATAACAATAGAAATATCCTGAAATGGGGAGTACAGACAAATTGCAACCCCTGAAATGCAACACATCGTACATCTAGATTAAAGAATAATTTCTTTACAACTGCTTTTTGTGTTTAGTTTGTTGTCCTTCCCCCACACCTCCAGTTATCACGTTTGGAGACATATGGCACGAAAGTGGTTCACCATTCATACGTACATCGTCGTCGTCATTCATGGTCAGTTTGCGGTTGAATGAAAGACACTTCGAGCCTTCGCCATCTGCGATACAACAATGAACCTATCACTGACAAACGAGCTGATTTCGTTGCTCCAACTCTGTGGTGGATGTGTTCCTAGGCACATTGAAGCGTAGCTTACCCAATGACAACCGTTCTATTTTCCAGAAAGTACCGTGACATGGGGTATCTGCGTTAAGATATTCCATGAAATTAAAATCTCAGATGTGCATTGTGCATTGACGGTTGCCTTCCTTGTGGACCTCAGGAACTTCATAGGCCCCACGCTGGGCGGACTCCTCGATGACTACGTGAACTTCAAGTGGGCCGCGACCATGGAGGGGCTGCTCTTAATCCTTGCGGTGAGCCACCGGTGGGGACACATCACTCCAGACTCGCACGGAACATCTGAGAGCAGCCACCATCGCACCTCTGTGAATGAATGGTGCCAGTCAGTGCACAGTTTATCAAATGAGTGTGCATTTAATTGATTGATTTCCAAAATATGATTAGATATTGTTTAATTGACTTATAAGAGATTCAGAAATGCATAATGTTGTATAGATGGCCCGAATGTGGATGGAACAGCTGGTCATTCGGTCCAAGATTAAAAACTCAGTTATTTTTTGTAAAATAGTAATAAAAATGTGCTGCCTTTGTCAATCCTCTGCTGGATGAAGGCCTCCCCATGTCGTGTCGTTCATGGGGGTTGTTTGACCATACTTCATGCTGGTCAGTACAGGTTGGATAAAGGATGGGGCCAGGACCAGTTAAGATATCACTCGCCACTGGTGTTATCTGTAGTTGGGAATCAGGTCACTGGGTTTATGCAGCCGGGTAGTGGTGGCTATGCACGTGGCTAGGAAAGCAGCACTGTGGAGGCGGCGAGGGTTGGTGGATCGGACAAATGAACCTAATGGCGGTACCCCGGGGTACCGTAGTTACCCTGGCTCTCGCATAATGTCCGTGATGCAGTCACTTTTAGTCTGTTGATGGTCGGCGATGCGGCAATCGACTCATCTCGACGAGCTGTACACTACGATGCACCACTACAGTGCGTGCGAGCGTTCAGGGTTTCAGCGCAATCGTCCTCGCTGCGTTTCGACATCGCGGCAAAGCACTGATATCGGATTGGTTGGTACCCCAGTCGCGGAGTTAAGTACACCCCTGGAAAAAAAATAGTGTCCCAGAAATTTAATATTTAATTGCCTCGGTCATTTTGTATTATTTGGTACCCCGGGGAACCGCCATAAGGATCAAATGACAAAATGTTGCGAGACTTCCTGTAGGCATTGAGGTGCAATACCGTGGCTTGCCAACAGGTTGAGGTACAGCAAATTGTGGATTGATACCAACTGTCCGCTCTGTATGGTATAAAGCAGTTTTCTCCTTTGAAAGGCCCATGGGCCACTGGTGGCACCTGGTGGTCTTTAGTGTGTCCCCTGACGTGTGGCCCACGACAATACACAAAAGTGAAAACACCTCCCCATCATCATCGTACCGCTGTCAAACCACAATGCTTTGAAATGTGTGGCGGCCCTCACACTGATGATGTCTTATTGGCGAAAGTAAAAATTAGTGAAGAACACTGGTATAGAGGGTTGCCCTCTCGCAAACATGGATTTTCTCCTGGGCCTCTGGTATCCTCCCACATGTGTAGTGACATCATGGATGTCACTGTGTAATGCCGGCCCTAGAGAGGCACGGTGTGCGGTGTATTGACATCGCAGGCACCACGCGGATGTGGGTGCAGTACCGGCCCTCGAGGGGCTCGGTGTGCGGTGTATTGACATCTCAGGCACCACTGACATGTGGGTGCAGTACCGGCCCTCGAGGGGCTCGGTGAGCGCTGTCTGACAGCGCTGGATGGCACCACGCTCTGCGTGCAGTGCCGGCCCCTACAGGATGGGGTGTGAGAGTGACGGCCATGGGAATGGGGTTACTAAGGGCCATGGCACTCTGGTTGACCCCGAGGGACACGTGACCGGTGAAGTCTACACAGGGTCCCCAGATGGGGGCTAGGGGTGGTCATGTGTCAGGGTCGATATTCTGCTCGAGGATTCTAGAAGGTGGTCGTGGCTAAGGGCGGAGCCAGCCACGCCCCAGAGGATAAAAGCCGGGTCCCCCAGAGGGACCGGCTGCTGTTTTTCATCCTGAAGAAATCTTCGTTCTACGTCCTACAGACTCTCCAACACGTGGACCTGGACCCAAGCTGTGGTCCGGTCCGTTGTAGCTAGTTACCGTGTAATTAGTGCAGTTAGCCTGGTAGTCCACCACCATAGGTTGTTATAGTGTTAAGGGGTAGTTACCCCGTGTGTTGGTATTGATAAATGTGTTGCCTCCCAAGAGTACGTCTGTGACTCAGTTGAATCCACTACACATGTATAAACACTAATTAGCTAAAAGCATCTTAGTATATAGAGAACTGCAGAGCAATTGTTGGCGCCAGCTTACCGCCTGTCATCCTTCCAGCTTGATCTGTGGTTCTTCAGCGATTGTGGGATACAATTTGAATGAACGACTCTATATAAAATGAATCCTTATATAGATACCATACTGTGAAAACTACTGTGACACCTTTGATATAATGCATACTAGAGTATTCATATTTTTTGTTCTTTTAGGTAGAATTTTCCAAGTGAGCATTTGTGTAACAATGTTGTATATATAGGGCTTTTTCCAAAAATTAATATTAAAAATAATTCTGCCATTTTTTAAACAATAATCGATTAAATAAATAAATAAAACACCCTAAAACCCGCTACCTCCCACAAGCACCAAGCAGCTGGAGGTCGTAAAAGGCCATTAAATAATAAACTCCAGGGCAAAGGTAGGTTAACGACGATCTGCAAAATCTCCAGATTTCCAAAGGGTCACATACCATGACCTGCTGGGCACTTTTAACAGTTCACAAACAAATATCCAGAATCACAGGCACGGACACAGAGCACAGGGCAAACGGACATTATAACTGATATTTTTTTTGTACGGAAAAAGTTCAAGCTTGGCTATAAGAATAAGTCGACATGATAGACTGCAGTCTATATTAGTGGCTTTATTATTACTTATTTTATTTCACCATTATTCAACTCACATATTGTTTCTTATTGTATATTTCTATCTATGTAACTTCACCAAGAGAACCAAGGAATGTGAATTCAGGCAGTCAAGAAAGTGAGGGCTTGGTTATATCTCCAGCCTCGAGATATCTCTGACCTCGAGAAGAAAAAAACACGGATCCCTGGATGCAGACAGGGAGCAAAAGTTGATAAAACCCTTGAAATACCGGAGGTAACATCTAATGGTACATTACAAACCTTGGTTAAACATTAACCAAATAATTATCACAAGAGATTAGACCTTGGGTAATTCATTAGAGGTACAAGAAAATAGGTCAACCACACCAGACCAGATAAATGTATTCCATGAAATCAGAGCCTCCCCGGCCACCTTTTTCTTCCAACAATTTGACACAAACACATGGTAGCCATAAAAACGAATGAAAGGAGCGTCCCCTCCCTTAGCGGACACCACGAAGAGAGGGGTTGAGAGGGCAAACAAACATCAATTTGATGTAAAGCAGCCCGGGGTCACCAAGGGAAGAGGGGAGGGGGGAAATCAGGTGCGGCCGCGGGGGGAGAGAATGAAGGAGTAAGCATCTGTTTCTTTTTTCCCTCGCATGAGACGCGCAGAGGGGAGATTTTTCGGATATAAACAGCAACATGACACACACACTTCAGCTCGACAATTCAGCTCGACAAAGGAGCTCAGCAAGGGACAGCGAGACAGCAGCTCGGAAGAGGACAGCAAGCCAGCTCCGGGGCATGGCCTCGAGATCAACAATGCGTGTGGTGCATCGCGGAGAAGAGGGGCGAGGTGATGTTAGGTGTTGAGTAGCGACATGCTACATTGTGCGAATTCAGCGCCATCAGAAGAAGTATCGCTCGAAAATCATTCCGCTCTGGGCATCGACTCACAAGAGCCACTGCGGTGCGAGCTAAGCTTACGAGAATTCCAGCATCATCCGCGAGAGAGGGCGGAAAGCGCCAAACGTCGACCGAGCCTGCCATCAACGAACGAAAGCATCGTTCATCGCCAGAGAGCCGGAGCCGGAGAGGGCGCGCAGTCGCGCCACCAGCGCCACCAAGCAAGGGTGCCAGCTGCCAGCGGACAAGCGTTGTGCCGACTCGGCTCATCCAGCAGGGGAAAGAGCCTGACCAGCCGCCCGTGAGCAAGAGTGTCAGCGCCAGCGAGCGCGCCGTGGGTTCGACCCACACGCGCACCGGCCGGCACCGGCTGGGAACCAAGACAAGAGTGAGGAACTGCAGACAGCGGAAGAGCTGCGGGCGCTATCTGACGACGGGATCATCGCGCACCGACGGCGAGCGTCGTGCCGACTCTTCCACCCAGCTGTGGACCGAAACTGTGGCCGCCCGTGTGAAAGAGGGAGTGTCAAGCTGTCCGTACAATACACACACCCTCACACCCTCACCGCTCCGCAAGGAACAAACACATTTTTCAACGTAGGGATGCCCAACCCCAGCGTCTGCATAACGCAAAGAATTAACGCAAGAAGACCAACAACACTCACACATTAACACATACAAGAAGACTCATGATAAGTGCGTTAAATATCAACTGATCGTGAAGAACATTGCTGCCCATTGAGTTACGTGGATACGGTCATTTAGAAGTATTTTAGTCGTTCGTTTTTTTTATTGCATAATCTTACCAATGAATTAATTGATAACTACTTTTAACTTCGGGACATGTTTCTTTATTGCCCTTCGTATGAATGTCGTCGCATGAATTTTTAGGGACTTTTTCCTATCACCGTATATGCTCGCGTTACTCTAAGGAATTAATCAATTATTCTGTTACCCAGTTTAACAACGTGATCACTGAGGGTTAAATGTATGGATCGATGAGGAGAACATCTCCAGGAGTACTGTGTTGACAATTCCAAGCATAAGAGTTCGCATATTAGAGTGTTATGTTTTTGTTTAGAAATTAAAATTGCTTAACACAGAAGTGTTTGAGTGTTTCTTTCCTGAGCTCATGCATAATAATCTTAATTATAAGAACTGTATCCTGCGGTGAGATTTGAATTTGGAGACCTGACATAAACACACTAAGACATAATCAGTAAATGTTAAAGCGAGAATAATTGTATTACACTGATTGATAATACAACCCTAGACAATGAAGCCGAGCTTAATCTAGCATACTTACATCACATCTGCATAACTTCATACGATTGATTGTCTTATCCTGATTGATAATACTACCCTCGACAACGAGGTTGAGCTTAATCATCATAACGGCTCGCATTAGCATAATCACATACATTCACATAAACCAATGCGATTATCTCGAATTTGCATACTTTATGTGCATAATTACATAAATTCACATAATTTCAGATAATTACGCATTTCTACAAATTTCATTTTAATTTTATTATTTTCATCAAATTTTCAATACCCGGCATATACAACAACATGCACATTTTACTTTTTGGCTTTTGATGAATGACACTATGTAACACAAATTTTGTTCCTGGGTAGTAAGTGTTATTTCTTAATTGCTTATGCCTAAAAAGTATAGAAAATGGCTATTATTCCCCACCAACTTTGCTTTTGTGACCAGGACAGTGATATTTTGAAATTGACCTATTTTCAATGAGATAACAGGCGAATTTGTGTCTTGTCGTTCACATAAAGTGAGAAAAAAAACATATGGATAAAAATTTACATGTATTTATACTAAAGTAATACAAAAATGACGACAAAAGATTTAGAAGTGAGTAGTTTTCGAGATTTACGATTATGCTGTAAATCACTTTCACGAATCAGCCGCCAAATGTAGTCTCCCATCATATTCTCGTTATACTGTCCTTGGAAGTGGCGTTCAAAGTCCAGTATATCCTGGTGGAAGCGCTCGCCTTGCTCCTCCGAGTATGCTCCCATGTTCTTGAATTTATAAAGTTCTTCACCAGAGTCTCAACCAGCTCCACATAGTTTTCGACCTTGTGATTGCCCAGGAAGCCACGAACCACTGCGACAAAGCTGTTCCAAACCGCATTCTCCTTACTAGTGAGCTTCTTAGGGAATTCATTGCACTTCAGGATCTTCTTTATCTGTGGTCCGATGAAGACACCGGCTTTGACCTTTGCCTCATCTTAGGGAATAAGTCTTGAAGGTAGTTGAAGGCTGCCAACTCCTTATGAAGGCTCTGACAAGTTGTTACATAAGGCCCAATTTGATGTGCAGTGGTGGCATCGGCACCTTCCGGGGTTTCGACCAGTGGCTCCCACTTGACATTGTTACTCCCCACAGAGAACTCGGTCCGCTGTGGCCAGTCCCGCCTGTGGTAGTGCACCTTGGTGTCCCTGCTGTCCCAAAGGCAAAGATAGCAGGGAAACTTGGTAAAATCGCCTTGGAGACTCATCAGGAATGCCACCATTTTGAAGTCTCCGATGACCTCCCAGCCATACTCATCATAATTCAAGGCATCCAGCAAGGTCTTGATGCTGTTTTAATCCTCTTTGAGGTGCACCAAGTGAGCCAGGGGAAGAGACGGGTACTTGTTACCATGATGGAGCAGCACGGCTTTGAGGCTCCTGGATGAGCTGTCAATCAAGAGGCGCCACTCATTCAGGTTACAGGCGATTTTGATTGCCTCGAACAGACTGGTCACATTGTGGCAGAAGCAGAGCCCATCTTGACAGGTGAAGAAGCTGCAAAAAAATTGGTGACGCTTCCTCTGATCTGCGACTTGCACAGTTTCATCCAACAAGTTCCACTGCTTGAGCCTAGACATCAACAGCTCGGCATTGGACTTGGTGAGACCAGGATCTCTGATCAAGTCGTTGAGGTCTTTTTGGTTGGGGTAGTATGGCTTTTCTCAACTCCACCTCTGAAATTATCATCTGGATCTACAACGTCTTCCTCGCTGTCTGACTTGCTGCTCTCTTCTAAAGACGGCTGCTCTCTCTCCGGAGGAGTGGGTATGGGGAGCTCATGCCAGTGTGGCACCGGGGCGATGGATGCATTCTTGCCAGTCCAACGTTTGGAAGAGTCCACAATGCAGAAGTAGCAGTTGCTTGAGTGGTCAGTGGGTTCCCACCAATTCTTGGGATAGCGAACTTCATGGCTCTCTTTTCCTCTCTGTACCATCCGACAAAAATACATTTATTTCACCCATGACAAATGTGTAAGAGATTCTCGCAACATTTTTCATTTATTATATATATTTTCAATAACATTAAAAATTGTAAAACATTTGAAAATTAAAAACTTTAACAATTAAATTTTTAAAAACAAATTTGAAACATAAAATTCCGAGCAACAATTGTCCATCTTACCTTCCAGAGTTTTTTTGCATTGCTCGCAGGTTAAATGAGGTGCCCAGGGTTTGTCTTGATCCCCGACAGGCATGCCAAAATATGCCTTGTAGGCCTCACACATCTTATACAGATGCTTCCACAGAGTACTTTTTCCCTCTTGTCTTGATAAATCGGCCGCAGACATAGCAAAATGCGTCTGCCGGATGCTTGCAGCCTCTTGATGCCATCTCAGAAAAATGCAGATATGTATCCACTTAGGCAGCTGGAACTAAACTGAGCTGGTGGGCTTAAGGGCCCTGTATTTATACTACTATTTATATTACTGGAAACTTCTAGACTGTTCTAGAAGTTACTCCAAGTTTACTCATCATTGAATATATCTGGAATGTTCTGAAAAAAAATTTAATTTAAAAATATCACTGTCCAGGTCACTAAAGCACAGTTTTGTGGGGAATAATAGCCATTTTCTGTCCTTTTGAGGCATAAGCAATTAGGAAATAACACTCCCCAGGAACAAAAAAATTAATAAAAAATTGTTACACTGTAATTCAATATGTTATTTCATGTAATGCCTTACCCGTGAGTCAGGATGTAGTTTTGAGATGTAAATGCAATGGGTGGGGGAGGACTGGGTTGGATGAGTTAATTTCCCCACCAAGTTGGCAACAGTAAAGGAAAATGTTGAAACATTACACGGGCTTCGTAAAATAACACACAACTGGCACTGGCTACACTTTGTAGTACATCACTGCGGTCTGTCTGTGATTGTAACACTTTTTTCAATTATTGTATTCCAGGCATTCCTCATGCTTGCATTTTACAGCTACGAGTGCATCAGTGAAAACAGGTATTTGCACAGTGATCTGAGCACGCCGGCCTGCTATCACAGGGTTTTTATTTAATTTCCCAGCCAGAGGCTTTGCTTAGCCTTTCATCTGTATGTATTCATAGAAATAACAATTTATTACATGTGTAAGGACAGTAAGGGGGAATGATGAGGACAGTACGGCTTCCCGTGGCCGTGGTTACCAATTAACGTGACGGAACAGACAGGAATGTTGATTTAAATCTTTCGTGACTGCAGGGATTCATATTCTTGGTTATATCGGTAAAGTCACGTAGAAGGGAAACAATAAAATAATAAAAATATAAAACAACAGACAGGGTTACGTATGGGACCTAAGTGGTCGTTAATAATGATTGATGCACTGGCAGGGTCGCGTGAGGATAAGCACGGGATCTGAAGGGTCGTAAATAGTAATTGGGACAGAGACAGACAGGGCCAGGTGCAGTGAGAGAGTGTTGGGGGGGGGGGGGAAAGGGGCGTGGCCGGGTCGTAAGGGGGATAAAAGCCGGCCAGAACAGGACTCTGGGCTGCTGTTGTGGGGGAACCAGGAAGCTGTCGTCGTCTTGGAGCGGGTCGTCTACATCATCTTGGATTGGGCACCTTGTAGTCTTGAAAGGCTAGAGTTACATTGTCTCCGTGACTACTACACGTCCGCTCATGTGTAGCCAGCCAACTACACAGGGAGCGTATCGTAGAGTCGCAGAAGTTACCCAGGTGTATATAGTCACTCGCGGATACTCGTTAAGTTAGCAGTGAGTCGGTGGACTTTATGCACAATAAATATACATAAAACTGACGAAGACGGTGTCTCTGAGAGCAACATTACACATGTATCCAAATTGGGAAAAAACAATTGAAAAGCCCCCCCCCCCCCCCCCCCAAAAAAAAGAACGTCAATATTACATAGAGACTGCCCCCATTTTGAAAATGTGGAATTTTGACCACTGGCTGACATCTGCCAATGGGAATGGGCACTGTACTCTTAAAATATTTCCACACTGGGTACACCATATCCAGTATACATCTGGCTATAGATGTGGCTCTTAGTTCTCTACCTACTCCGGTCTACCAGCAAACCTGCAAAAAAATATTCAGTGAAAAATTAAGCCCTGTGAATAACCAAGTTGCACCACGCTCACGTTGTTGAGAGTGCATTTCACACATCCCGTGTCCACTTTTGTTGCCACGTTCTCTCTCTGCAGGCACCGTCGGACAGAAGAGCTGCTCGGCGATGTGGAGGAGGCCACCAGACCCCTGCTGTCCTAGCTAGCTGGGTGGAGTTGGACAAGCCAAGCATCGGCGTTCAATGTGCGAGGAGGGCCGGTGCGACCGCGGTCGATTGCGCCAGCATTAGCACACGGCACTCATTGCAAGCAAAAAAGAGGTGGATCTAGAAACTTGGCAAGGGGGAGGTGGATCTGAAATTTCCAGATTTTTAAATGGAGCCCTAAATTGATAATAGTAATAATGAAATCTATTTACTTTTACTGGTAAATATCAATAAAATACTTATCAATTTTTGGGGTTTTCAAGATGCCACCCCTTTGGATCCACCACTGATGCAAGCAAGAACACATTATAAATGTGTACGTGTTAAAGTGGCAAGGTGGCTCACAGGTGATAGTGCTGAGCTGGAACCGTTGTGAACCTAGTTTCGATTCCAGGCAGCTGCCACCATTAAATCAATGTTCTCAAGTGCAATACACTTATAGTCTTCGCCCAGTCACCACTAACTGCGCACACAAAAACAGCACGGTAAATTAAATTCTGCACTTAATGTTGAATCCCAGCACTGAGCTGATTATTGGTTTTACTGTCATGCGATGAGCATTACTCTGCCCCCTACTGTGGTGACCAGAGGTCACTTTAAGGGGACCGAGAGATCCGAGTGGATTCTGCTAATCTTGAAAAAATGCTGGTTGCACATTTTGGGAGAATTGTAGGGGAAATACTAAATGAAAATGAGTATTGAGACTCAAGTGTTCCTGCACTGTCAGACATGTTGATGGAGAATTGCAGAATTGCAGTTGTCCCTGTGCAAAATTGTACAAATGTGCATGACAAAACAATGTCACCACCATTATTATTGCATGATGTTTATCATAAACAGTAAGCGGCTGTCAAAAATGTTAACCTCCAGATTACATTTAAACTACTGTACAGTGTTGATGATGGTCATCTCTTTTTGTTTGTGCCTGTACACCCACTGCCAGTGCAGTCCCAGACAGTATATTTATTTGTAATCGTGCACAAATCACATCAGAATCAGGTGAAAATATATTGAGATATAGTGGAATTTTATAACTCGAAAAGGAATTTGAAAAAAAAACATCCCAATTTCGGAATCTTATGAAATCATGAGATGAAGGTTGATATGTTCTTGAATAAAGGAAAATTGTTGACACTTTTTGAGAGGAAATGGCACTGAAACTATTGATTTTAAGACTTAACTTTTTCATTTGCCTTACTCGGAACGGTTTTACCACCTCTTATGTATCGAAGAATATTTGTGCCTTAGATTTCTCAGAAATGTGAAAAATACTTTCAATAATTTAAGCTGGCTGTAGCATATCCATTATTCTGTTCACATGTGTTGTAATATATTTACTATGTATTCCACTACAAGTTTGTCGGTTGCACCGTTTTAAAAGTACACCATGCTTCAGCTAATGGTACCTTGAAACTTTAACTGGCTCGAATGCTAAAACATGTTTCTCATGTACGAGGAACATCCTGATAGTAATTAACAATATTTGTTCGTCAACTAACAACATATGATCGTCGAACAAAAGGCGTGTGAATGTAACGTGTGAAAACGTCAGGAAGCAGGTCAAAAAATTTGAAGATGGTAATAGTGGAGACTGTCGTTAAATCCAGCAGTGGCAGATGACTCCCAACAATTACACAGAACGGAGGAAATCATTCGTACTATCGTTGCAGATTGGTCACCACACTGTCGGGACTCTCTCATATATTGGCTTATCAGTATATGTGTGGATAGTGTTTGAGTGGGTGTGGCTATGCAAGTCGTGGGCCTGGTTGGAGGGACATTCGGTTCCCCATGCCCCAGTGGAGCCTCCCAGATATTGGGTAGCCTTAACAAAAAAGTCAACAGTAGAACTCCCATTTATTTGACACAGGATACGTCCGTGTATTTGTTAGTGGGGAATATATTGTGTGTATTTATGGAATCGAAAGTAAGTTTAAATGTAAATAAAATTCCTTTTAAAAAGTGATATCGTTCGAACACTTTAATTTTTGTTGCATTGTTTGTCACCTTCACATGTCTCATCTGATGTTATCTTCTAGGCTACGTTGCTGTTATTGTAATGTTAGAGTTTAAAACGGTGTCGTATAGAACACACCATGAAGAGACATGGGCTGGATGAAGACCTCCCCGTGCCAGCCATGTGGATTGGTGACTAGGGGACTCGGAACGAACTCAGATGTAAGGCATGGCACTGAACTCCTGAACTCAGCCGGATTTACGGATCTAAGAGCATAAGGGGCTGTCCATAATGACGTCACGCACCTGGGGGGGGGTGGTCAGACATTTGTAACGATGTGTGACGAGGGGGGGGGGTTTGAAAAATGTGACGTCACATCAAAATGCGCAACTTTAAATAAATATAGACTTTTTAATAAATGTTTTTTTCCTACAACATCAGAGTGCAGCGGCACATTAAATACGCACTACAATGACAATAGTTTAAAGCACGTTTTATTTTCAAAATGGAAATATGTTTTTTTTGGGGGGGGGGCAGAGCTTTGTGACGTCATATTTGAGGGGGGGTCTTACTTTTGTGACGCCGTGTGACGAAGGGGGGGGGGGGGTCAAAAATCGTCCAAAATCGCGTGACGTCGTTTATGGACGGCCCCTAACATTAACATTGACTTTTAATTTTGACTAAAAAAAAGTTTACACGAATCAAATTTTCAGATCCAGCCAAAAAAAAATCCATTGCGATAAGTCAAGAGTGTTTATTTCGTGGGATATAATAGTCGCGCCGAATGAACATGGACTATCCACCACTGCTCCCCACGACAGGGCAATGCTTTACACCACCCAGCAGCAGCAGCAGCAACCAGCAGCAGCAGCCAGCAGCAGCAGCAGCCAGCAGCAGCAGCAGCCAGCAGCAGCAGCAGCCAGCAGCAGCAGCAGCAGCCAGCAGCAGCCAGCAGCAGCAGCAGCAACCAGCAGCAGCCAGCAGCAGCCAGCAGCAGCAGCCAGCAGCAGCAGCCAGCAGCCAGCAGCAGCGAGCAGCAGCAGCCAGCAGCAGCAGCCAGCAGCAGCAGCCAGCAGCCAGCAGCAGCCAGCAGCAGCAGCAGCCAGCAGCAGCAGCCAGCAGCAGCAGCAGCCAGCAGCAGCAGCAGCAGCCAGCAGCAGCAGCAGCAGCCAGCAGCAGCAGCCAGCAGCAGCAGCCAGCAGCAGCAAGCAGCAGCAGCAGCCAGCAGCAGCAGCCAGCAGCAGCAGCAGCAGCAACAAGCAGCAGCCAGCAGCCAGCAGCAGCAAGCAGCAGCAGCAGCCAGCAGCAGCAGCCAGCAGCCAGCAGCAGCAAGCAGCAGCAGCAGCAGCAGTCAGCAGCAGCAGCAGCAGCCAGCAGCAGCAGCAAGCAGCAGCAGCAGCAGCCAGCAGCAGCAGCAGCCAGCAGCAGCAGCCAGCAGCAGCAGCCAGCAGCCAGCAGCAGCAGCAGCCAGCAGCAGCAGCCAGCAGCAGCAGCCAGCAGCAGCAGCAGCCAGCAGCAGCCAGCAGCAGCAGCAGCCAGCAGCAGCAGCAGCAGCAGCAGCAGCAGCAGCAGCAGCAGCCAGCAGCAGCAGCAGCAGCCAGCAGCAGCAGCCAGCAGCAGCAGCAGACAGCAGCCATCAGCAGCCAGCAGCAGCAGCAGCCAGCAGCAGCAGCAGCCAGCAGCAACAGCAGCAGCAGCCAGCAGCAGCAGCAGCCGCCAGCAGCAGCAACCAGCAGGCAGCAGCAGCAGCAGCCAGCAGCAGCAGCAGCAGCCAGCAGCAGCAGCAGCAGCAGCCAGCAGCAGCAGCCAGCAGCAGCAGCAGCAGCCAGCAGCAGCAGCAGCCAGCAGCCAGCAGCAGCAGCAGCCAGCAGCAGCAGCCAGCAGGCAGCAGCAGCCAGCAGCAGCAGCAGCAGCCAGCAGCAGCAGCAGCCAGCAGCAGCAGCAGCAACAAGCAGCAGCAGCAGCCAGCAGCAGCAGCCAGCAGGCAGCAGCAGCCAGCAGCAGCAGCAGCCAGCAGCAGCAGCAGCCAGCAGCAGCAGCAGCAGCCAGCAGCCAGCAGCAGCAGCAGCCAGCAGCAGCAGCCAGCAGGCAGCAGCAAGCAGCAGGCAGCAGCAGCCAGCAGCCAGCAGCAGCCGCCGCCGCAAATTCGAACTTTCCCGCGTTTTAAAACAGCTGCTAGCCCACGTGACCTAAGCGCGCTCGGAATTTTTTGGCTGTCGCGCGCGCCCCCTCGCGCTCCGATTGGCCGGCGGCGAACCTCCCGCCCCGCCCCGCCCCCTCCCCCGTGAGCTCCACTTCCGCTGTCGAGCGCGCGCGGGTCAGCACGTGGGTGGCGGCGCGGTGGTGGCAGCGCACGTGGAGTGACCGCGGGGAGCCTCCGACCCGTCTGCCGGTGCACCGCCAGCAGGCCCTCTACTGCCTGCCCTCTGCCCTCTACTGCCTGCCCTCTGCCCTCTACTGCCAAGGCCGCCGCCGCTCCACGGCGTCAGCGTTTGGTGGTGGGATTCCGAGGTGCGAGGGTTGGGTCGCGTGCGATTATTTTTGTTTGGTTTCTTCCACGGGTCACTCCGCTGGATGTTAGTCCCACCTCGATCGCCGCTCCCACGTTTAGAATGGAGACGCGTCTGGATTATTTGGCTGCGCGTACGTATAATGATGTTACACGTGGTGAACAGATAGAGCCGCTGCATTGAGCTAGCGTTTGGGATGGCCAGGTCGCTTATGAAAATAATAAGTTAATAGCTCAAGTGGACTTTACCTCATAAGATTTTTTTGTTTAAGTTTAGTTTTATTTATGTTTTTTTGGAAGTGATTTGTTTTAACTTTTCTATACTTTGCAATCCTGTCGTGTTTTTGTTGTTGTTGTAACGTTCTGACCCACCCCTACCGGACATCTGTGAAAAATAACTTTATAGCTCATCGGATTCCTCCAGTATAGCTACTATAATCACAACGCTCGTGACGTCACTCCACGGCGACCAGCCCCCCCCTCATTAATTTTCATGAGCAGGTGACGTCCTCCAAATGGACACCCCCCCCTCACTAATAATCATGAGCAAATGACGTCACTCCACATCGAACAGCCGCCCTCATTAATAATCATGAGCAGGTTACGTCCTCCACATGGACCCCCCCCCCCCTCATTAATAATCATTAACAAGTGACGTCACTCCACATGGAGCACTCACTCCCCTCATTAATAATCATGAGCAGGTGACGTCCTCCACATGGACCCCTACCATTAATATTAATTAGCGGGTGACGTCACTCCACATGGGGGGGGGGCGAGGCGCCTCCTCCCCCCTCCTCGGCGTCAACTCACAACCCTCACTACAAAGGCAGATCCCTCACGTCATCACGTGATCTCACCCTCACTACAAAGGCAGAACCCCCACGTCATCACGTGATCTCACTCCAAAGGCAGATCCCTCACGTCATCACGTGATCTCACCCTCACTACAAAGGCAGAACCCTCACGTCATCACGTGATCTCACCCTCACTACAAAGGCAGAACCCTCACGTCATCACGTGATCTCGCCCTCACTCCAAAGGCAGAACCCTCACGTCATCACGTGATCTCACTCCAAAGGCAGATCCCTCACGTCATCACGTGATCTCACCCTCACTACAAAGGCAGAACCCTCACGTCATCACGTGATCTCACTCCAAAGGCAGAACCCTCACGTCATCATGTGATCTCACCCTCACTACAAAGGCAGAACCCTCATCACGTCACGTGATCTCCGTAACGCTGCTGTTGAGACATCAAAGTAAAAAGACGTCGTGATGAACAAGGGACTATAACCTTAACATGAAATAGGTCTGTGTCACCGCGCCCTTATAAATCGCACACGCATTGATGCAGTGGATATATCACGTCTCGGTCTGCTCTTCGCTTGCAAGATGCAGATTTACTGCAATACACCCGTTCTTGGATGGGCAAAAGGCAAGTTTATAATAATACCATCATGTCAGCTTGTCACGCGCCGCCACGCAGTGCTATAGTATCCGCTCACTCTTGTTAGAGAGACGATTCAGGATGCGCGAGGAATCGCAGAGCAGCTTGAAGGCAGCCACGCCCACAAGTGCCCAAGCTCTGGGGTCCTCTATGACCGTGGTACGCGGTCACTTGATGAGTTGTTTACATGTGGCCGGGAATCCGGAGCACATGGAACAAAATCCACGCGTGCGAGCGACGGGGAAAACACTCTGCCACGCAGACGGTACAGGTGCAGAGTTGCACACCTCTGGTGTGCTAGATAGTCCCCGAGTTACGACGGGGTCGTCGTCACCCATATCCGTCGTAAGTAGAGGACTGCCTGTCCTGCCTTCTAGCAGAGCCACCTGCTGGACGCCCACGGGAAGGTGAGGTTCGCAACACCTGTGCAAGTGAGCCACCAACCCTCGTTGCTGCTGTTGGATTACAGGCAGCAAACGTGCATTGGGGCCGTCCATAAATGACGTCACGCACCTAGGAGGGGGGTGGGGGGGGTCAGACATTTGTGACGATGTGTGACGAAGGGGGGGGGGAGGTTTGAGAAATGTGACGTCACATCAAAATGCGCAACTTTAAATAAATATAGACAACACGTTCTTCTTAATTAAATTGACTTTTTAATAAATGTTTTCTCCTACGACATCAGATTGCAGCGCCACATTCAATACGCACTACAATAACAATAGTTTGAAGCGATTTTAAGCATGTTTTATTTTCAAAATGGAAATATGGTTTGGGGGGGGCAGAGCTTTGTGACGTCATATTAGAGGGGGGGGGGCTGACTTTTTGTGACGCCGTGTGATGAGGGGGGGGGGTCAAAAAATCGTCGATAATCGCGTGACGTCATTTATGGACGGTGTTGTGTATATATATAGGCCTTTTTCCAAAAATTAATATTAAAAAGAATTCTGCCATTTTTTTTTATAATAATAATCGATAAATAAATAAAACACCCGAACCACGTAACCCCCGCAGCACCCCATAGCAACTAGTTGTGCATGGGAGTTGCCC